TGGTGGATTACTGGAAATTGGCGCAATATATGGCATGCGATACCATGCCCATGATATTAACAGTGATGTATAATCACCTATTGTTTTTCTCCTGACTTTTGTGGCCTTGCAAATTTCCTTATACAATATAGCTAAACAAGCAGACCCTCAATTATATCTTCTAGTTCTTCTAAGATTAGTTAATAAAGCTAAATACATAAGATAAACTTTGTTGTCTGTTTTTTCAAGCATCAAAACACCTCCAATCAAACCCAATATATATGCCATAACATAGGCATGAACTTACTCTTCAGATGGTTCATTTGGTAATAGTAACATGTTGTCTCTCAGCCACTTCAGTTTCACTATAGAGCCAATAAGTGTCTCTCTCTTGATTGGCACGATGCTGAGATATATGACATACACATCCTCCCAGTCAAATATTGTTGGACCAATGACTGGTAATCCATCAACTTTTAGCTTGAGTTGAAGTGCAACATTCTCTAGGGTTATGGTGCACTCCCCAGTTAGAAAATGGAATGTGTGAGTTTCAGGTCTCCACCTTTCGACCAAAGCTGTCACTAGTACTTGATCCATTTTAAGATACCTTAGCTTTGTAACCCCAGCAAAACCAAGTTGTTCAAGAATAAGAACAATTATGGGGTTGGGTTCTGGCATTGAATGATAGAAAGATGAGATCATATTTTCAGTTTCCTGCAGTTATTAACAAATTAGTGAGTAACATTATACATAAAAATTGATTTACATTTTAAGCAAATAACGATGATGTCTCAAACCTACCGTTCTACCAATGAAGGCATACCTGTGTTCGTTTTGCTTCGTTAATAATATTTTTGTGATTGATGAGTGAGTCATTACTTCAGAGTAGATAAAGCTTGTTTAAATTTTGTGAATCTTTAAATGAGAGGAAATCTGATTGTGTTATAGAGAAGTCACGATTACTTGTAAAATGTGGATGGCAGAACATTGAGTCAGTATTTGGGAGTAGAGAAAGCTTGTTCAAATTTAGTGAAGCTTTGAATGAGAGGGAATCCAATGGTGTCATAAAGAGGTCATCATCATTCGTAAAACGTGGCAATACCTTATTCGTGTTCATTTTCTTCATTCAACCTTATAAGCTTGTTCTTTTGGTCTTTCGAAACCCTAAACCTTCTAAGCTTGTTCCTTATTCTTGTGAACCTTCTCCTTCTAAGCTTGTTCATCATTCACTTTCTTCAATCTAAAAATGTCTTCAATATATGTCATTGTTCACTCTGATGGTGCCATTAACCAATGTCCTAATGAAGGAGTCACGTTCACCTCACTATCAGCCAAATTGATACATCTAAAGAGAGAAGTGACTCTACAAAGAGCCACGCATATGTGTTTCTCCACTCATTTCATAGGATCATAACAAGTTGGGATCACGAATGATTTCTCAAAACATTCGTGAAATGATACAGACTGATCCATCCACACCCATCGCAACTATCATAGCCCACATAAAGTCCATGATGGGTTACACAATCAGCTACAGAAAGGGATGACTGAGAAAATAACATGTCATTGAAAATATCTTCGAAAATTGGGAGGAGTCATACCACAAGTTACCTAGTATGTTGCAAGCAATGCAACTGTATGTTTTGGGCTTCATCTGAAAATTGAGTACACAATCGGCATACCAGGGTGGCTTGTTGGATGAGGGGAATGTGTTCTTCAAGAGGTTGTTTTGGACCTTCAAGCCATGCCTTGATGATTTTGCCTTTTGTAAACCAATTGTTCAAGTAGATGGAACATTTTTGTATAGCAAATACAAAGGGACTTTATTGGTGGCAGTTGCGCAAGATGGTCGCAACAACATAATTCTCATTGCCTTTGCTGTGGTTGAAGGTGAAACTAGTAATGTATGATTCTTTTTTTTTTTTAGAAACTTAAGGAGGTACGTAAACTTACAAGAGGAGTTGTGCCTCATTTCGGATTGTCACAAGGCCATAAGAAGTGCATACTCCAAAAATGGAAGTGATTAGACAGAAAACAATTCTGTCCGTGTCTATTGCATTAGACACATTGCACAAAACTACATGTGACGATTCAAAAACGCTGCACTTAATAAAGATGTCGTTAATATGGGTAATTTTAATTTTTTACGCACTTTATATTATCATTAATATTTTATACACTTGCTTAGCTGTTATATTAATTTAATTTGTAATCTTTTTTCCAGCATATGAGATTACTAAATCAAGATTCTTTTACTATTACAACATAGTAAAAGATAATAATCCTGAAGCATAATGGTTGGACAACATTCCAAGGAAAAAATGGACGCTGGCATGGGACAATGGACGATGCTGGAGACACATGACAACAAACCTAGCGGAGTCAATTAATTTAGTCTTAAAAAAACTAGAAACGTGCCAATTTGCTCCATAGTCATGGCGACATACACCCGTTGCAACAAGTTCTTCATTGAGAGAGGTAGGGAAGTAGATGCAATGATTAATGCTGGACATGTGTACTCAGAGGTTGCAATTAAAGCAATTCAAGATGCACAGTCAAAGACGAACACTCATAGAGTCATCACATTTGACAGAACAAGCACTAGATTTTTAGTCGAAGAAATGCAACATTGAAGACAAGTTCGACCCGTAGGGAAACTTATAATACGGCTAGATGAAATGTGATGTGGTTGTGGCAAGTTCCAAAAAGTTCACATCCCATACTCGCATGTACTTGCTTCATGCTTACACACATACCACAACTTTGACATCTACATATCTCCCTGTATACCTTACAATAAGTTTCTAAGGTATATGAATGTCAGTTTAGAGAACTCAAACACGAAGACTATTGGCCAACTTACACTGGCCCAACTTTGTTTCCAAATCCAAAACTGAAAAGAACTTCAAAGTGTCGACCCAAGTCTAGCAGAATAAGAACAAAGATGGACATTAAAGAACAACAAAATCATGTAAAAATTGTTCCTATTGTTACACCTCTGATCAGACAAAGAAGACATGTTCAAACATTGGTCATGCATATAGTTCCCGCCATTAAATTTTTTTTTATTGTAACAGGTTATAAAGAAAAAGAAAAATCTAACTTAAGAAGACGTTGCGTTAATATATGTCATAGTTTTACTTCCCACGCTACCGCTCCTTGAATCACTTTTGCATATTAATATTAAAAATTCTCACGTTGCATTTAAAATGAAATACTTATTCAAAATAATATTATCATATTAATATTCTAAATTCATAACACATATTTACATATTAAAAAAAATATATACCCTTATATTCTTTATTATTTTTATTCATTTGATATACAAATTTTATTTTTTTAAAATCAAATACTTATTCAAAATAATATTATCATATTAATATTAAAAATTCATAACACAAATTTACATATTCAATAAAATATATCAACATAATATTCTTTATTATTTTACAAAATATAAATATATAAATATTATTTCACACAAATTAACATAATATAAAAATATAAATATAATTCAAATAATAAAATTTGTTTTATTATTTAAAATTAACTAAATATTTATAATATATTTATTAAATTTTACAATATATAAATATATACACATAAAAAAATACATAAAAAGTATTTTATTATATAAAAACAAAAAACTAAATTTAAAAAAAAAAAATCCTAAATTAGACCCTAAACCCTAAATACAAACAACAGATGTAATTAAATAAATATATTAGAGTTGGGTACATATGTGAAGGTTTTACATAAACAATATAAAAAAATAAAAAATACATAAAAGGACTAGATACATATATATTTACGAAAATAGACTAGATTACTGTAGTTATTTTTGGGGCAGTCTGGATATTGGTTTTATTTTTTTATTTTTTAAAAATATTTTTATATAATAAAATAAATTTTATTATTTAAATTATATTTATATATTTATATTTTGTTATGTGAAAATGAATAAAAATAAAAATAATATTTATTTTAAATGTTTATTAAAATTTATTTTACATAATTACGATAATTATATTTTTAAAAATAATAATAATCATATTTTAAAAAACTAATTAAAATATTTAAATAATAAGTATATTATTTTAGATGATAATGTTAATGTTTAAATTTTTTATGCTTAAAGAATAATATTTATATTTTTAAAAATTAAATAAAAATATTAAATATTATTCTGTTTATTTATTTATTTAAATATGTAATTTTGACTTAATATTTTTAAATACTAGTATGATAAAATGATATTTTGAATAAAAATTTTATTTGAATTAAATTAATTTTCTTAAAAATGACATTATTTAATATTATAATTTTTAATACCCTAAATCCTAAAATTTACTATTATAATTTTTAATAAATTTTATTTGAGAATAAAAAATTTATTTTTAAAAAGTAAATAAAATATTAAATTATAAGTTAATTATTTATATTTGAGACAAATATTTTAAAATTAACGTTTTCATATTACTAAGGTAACATTGATAAAGACCAAGTGCATTAACAATGTTGATAACAAATTCATAACAATATTAATAATTAACTATCTCCATAATGGTGGTCAGTTTCACAACGAGAGTAACGTCTGTGACGTGGTGGATTTCGTCGTTGTGGTTGTAGAGGATTTGGATAATGATGAATGTCTAGTTGTTGGAATGCATTTGATGAATTACCAGGTTCATTAGCAAAATTTAATTGGTAAAGAGACTACACGTAAGTTTATGCTGAAGATGGAGTTGTAAAATCAACACCAAATAAGTTTGTAAAAAAATCCTCCAATGTTGTTGCAAACGAATGTCTTGTGTTAATTATGTTTGCTTCTGGCATAATGTTCGGAGAAATTGATGCAGTTTCGTGATATGACGGTATGAAAGTAGTACCGATTTCAAATGTGTTTATAGTCCTTAGTTATTGGTCGCTCCTCCTTAGATCTTGTAGTAGTGGTAGCACAGATAGGAAATAGATAGAATTAACAATGTACCATTCCATGTATTCTCGTGTGTGACACAATGGGCCTTGCATTGGATGACCCGTTATTGTCAGCTCACGTCTGTTGTTCCATATCTCTATCTATTACGCAAACCCTACCCTTTCAACCTCTTGAAGAAACCCCCATTGAAGAACATGCTGTTGTAGGTCTTCCAAATAAAGTATTTGATCATTTTAGCGAAGACGAAAATGAAATCTTATCTCAACAGCAGGATGATGAAGAAGACACCCTCCCACTTTCAAATATTCCACCATCACAACCATTACCATTATACAACCCACCTCCACATTTTCTAGACTTTTCTAGTCAAATACAAGAACATGACTCTAAGTTTGGTCATGTCCTTGATTGTGAAATGGTAGTGTATCTGCCTGGAACAGTATTTGTTGGTCAAGACTTCCTAACAAAAGAACAAGTGCAAGACGTCATAAATAGATTTCACATTGTCAATCATTGCACTTACAATGTTAAGATGTCAAACACAATTAGGCTTGTCGTGGAATGCATTCACAACGACTGTGCCTAGAGATGTCGCGTAATATTGCCCACCAAAGAGCAACACTGAGAAATAATGAAGCTTGAAGGGTGCCATACATGTGCTTCTCTACTCATTTCATAAGATCATAACAAGTTGAGATTACAAATGATTTCTCAAACCATTCGTGAAATGATACAGACTGATCCATTCACACCCATCGCAACCATCTTAGCCCACATAAAGTTCACAATGGCTTACACAATCAGCTATAGAAAGGGATGGTTGGGAAAACAACATGCCATTGAAAATATCTTCAGAAATTGGGAGGAGTCACACCATAAGTTACCTAAATAATTGCTTGCAATGCAACTTTATGTTCCGGGTTTCATATGAAAATGAGTACACAACCGGCATACAAGAGTGACTTGCTTAACGAGGGGAATATGTTCTTCAAAAGGTTGTTTTGGACCTTCAAGCCATGCATTGATGGTTTTGCCTTCTGCAAACCAATTGTTCAAGTGGATGGAACATTTTTGTATGGCAAATACCAAGGAACTTTATTAGTGACAGTTGTGCAAGACGACTGCAACAACATAATTCTCATTGTCTTTGCTGTAGTTGAAGGTGAAACTAGCGATGCATAGTTTTTTTTTTTTGTTGAAAAACTTAAGGAGGTACGTAACCCTGCAAGAGGGGTTGTGCCTCATTTTGGATCGTCACGAGGCCATAAGAAGTGCATACTCTAGAAATAGAAGTGGTTGGACAGAAAATAATTTTATCCATGTCTATTGCATTAGACACATTGCACAAGAATTCATGCAACGATTCAAAAACGTTGCACTGAAGGGTAATTTTAATTTTTTACGTACTCTATATTATCATTAATATTTTATACAATTGCTTAGCTAGTTATATTAATTTTATTTGTAATCTTGTTTTCAGCATATGAGATGACTGAACCGAGATTCTTTTACTATTACAATATAGTAAAAGATAATAATCTTGAAGTTGCACAATGGTTGGACAACATCCCAAGGGAAAAATAGACACTGACATGGGACAACGGATGACGCTGGGGACACATGACAACAAACCTAGCGGAGTTAATCAATTCGGTCTTGAAGAAAATCAGAAACTTGCCAATTTGCTCCATGGTCATGGCAACATACACTTATTGCAATAAGTTCTGCATTGACAGAGGTTGGAAAGTAGATGCAATGATTAATGCTTGACATATATACTCGGAGGTTGCAACTAAAGCAATTCAAGATGCATAGTCAAAGGCGAACACTCATAGAGTCATCATCTTTGCCAGAATAAGCACTAGATTTTTAGTCGAAGAAACTCAACATCCGACAGAAATTCGCCTCCTAGGAAGATTTACAGTACAATTAGATGAAATATGGTGTGATTGTGGCAAGTTCCAAAAAGTTCACATTCCATGCTTGCATATACTTGCTTCATGCTTACACACATACTATAACTTTGACATCTACATATCTCCGATATATACTTTACAACAAGTTTTTAAGGTACACAAAGGTCAGTTTGGAGAACTCAGACATGAAGATTATTGGCCAACTTAGACGGGTCGACTCAAGTCCACTGGGATAAAGACAAAGATGGACATTAGAGAACAATAAAGTCGGCCAAAAAATTATTCTTATTGTTACACCGCTGGTCACATAAGAAAGACATGTACAAATATCGATCAAGCTTCTACTTTTTGCCACTGATTTATGTTGTTGTTATTACTTTAAAATTTTTTCATATAATTTTTAATTTTTTGAATGTTATTACAACTTATAAATTTTGAGTATTAGTAATTTATATTAAATGTATAATTATATATATCTACATAATATTATTTAATAATGTTTATTAATATTAATAACATATTTTTTAAAATAAATAATTATGTATAAATTTTAATAAAGATTAATATCTCAAATTAAATAAATAAACTTATTATTATTTAATACTTTTATTTATTTTATAAAAATATAAAATTAAATAAATTTTTATTGTAATTTTTATTTTATACAAATTTAATATTAATTCAATTATTATTGTAATTTTTCGTTTTTAAAAAATTTAATATTAAATAACCAAAAATATAATTTCAGAATATAATATTAATATCATTTTATACAAATCAAAATTATATTAAATAATATAATAAGAAAAATAAAAATATAATTTATTATCATAATTATGTAAAATAAATTTTAATAAACATGTAAAATAAATATTATTATTATTTTTATTTATTTTCACATAACAAAATATAAATATATAAATATAATTTAAGTAATAAAATTTATTTTATTATATAAAATATTAAAAAAAATAAAAAATAAAACTAAAGTCCAGAATTCGGTTCCCCAAGCTGTCCTAAAAACAACTACAGTAATCGGTCTCCTTTCCGTAAATATATATGTATTTTTTTACTATTATTTCAGTAAGAACTTCTACATTTGTATATTTATTTATTTGTTTAATATTTTTTCTGCAAAAAATTCTCCAAAGCTTAAACCCAAAAAAGTATACAGCTTATGATAATAAGGCTGCAAAATTGTTTAACTATTCCTGTTCCCAGATGGAAGTTCAGTTTAGTTTGTAGCGACAAGACAGGACAAGAACTCCGATATTTGGCTTGCTTTGAGGTCAATTGTAGTAGCATCTTCTTCCTTTCTATCATCATGCGGCTTCGTCCTTTTGCTTTGATTCTTCCCTTCAAAAGCAAACACAAAACCAGACGGGGCTTAACCATTGCAACCAGTGCACTTGCCCACTTTCGTTCCGATTCCGATTCCGATTCCGATGCCGATTCACCCTCTTCCTCTAACACCCATTTCGCCAAACTTCAGCAATGTTCATCTTTCACACACCTAAATACCTTCAACGTCCTCCAAACTCTTTACTGTTTGCACAACCGCCCTTCTCTTGCACTCTCCTTCTTCACCCAACTCCACCAGCGTGGCTTCGTTCACACCATCTCCACCTACGCTGCAATCATCAGAATCCTCTGTTTCTGGGGGTTGGATAGAAGGTTGGATTCTCTCTTCCTTCAACTTATTTCTCTCTCCAAACAACACCCTTCTTTCCAAGTTCATGACTTGTTTGAAGAACTCTTGGTGGGTCTTAATGGGAATAACCGTCAAAGTCAACAGTACTTGCTTAGAGGTTTTGATAGGTTTGTTAAAACTTGTGTTAGTCTTAACATGTTTGATGAGGCTATGGATATCTTGTTCCAAACTAGGAGGCGTGGAATTGTGCCAGATGTCTTTACTTGTAACTTCCTCTTCAACCGTTTGGTTGAGCACGGTGAGGTAGATAAGGCATTGGCCATTTATGAGCAACTCAAGAGGTTTGGTTTGAGCCCCAATGATTACACCTATGCCATTCTCATTAAGGCTCTCTGTAGGAAGGGTGATTTGGAACAGCCACTTTGTGTGTTTGAGGAAATGGAGAAAGTTGGAGTCACCCCTAATTCCTATTGCTATGCTGCTTATATTGAAGGGCTATGCAATAATCATAAGTCTGATTTGGGATATAAGGTGCTTCAAGCATTCAAAAAGGCGAATGCTCCTATTGAGGTTTATGCCTACACGGCTGTTATTCGTGGGTTTTGTAATGAACTGAAAATAGATGAGGCGCAGAGTGTATTCGACGATATGGAAAGGAAAAGGATGGTTCCTGATGTGTATGTTTATTCTGCATTGATCCACGGGTACTGTAAGACACATAATCTACTTAAAGCTGTGGCTTTGCACGACAACATGATTTCGAGGGGTATAAAAACAAATTGTGTGATTGTTAGCTGCATCCTTCATTGTTTGGGAGAGATGGGCATGACTTTGGAAGTGGTAGATCAGTTTAAAGAATTGAAGGAATCGGGCATGTTTCTTGATGGGGTAGCCTACAATATTGTGTTTGATGCGTTATGCAAGTTGGGTAAAGTGGATGAAGCAATAGAAATGGTGGAAGACATGAAAGGTAGGCGTATAGTTTTAGATAGTAAACATTACACGACCTTTATCAGTGGGTACTGCCTTCAGGGTAGATTCCTTGATGCCTTCAGTGTATTTAAAGAAATGAAGGAAAAGGGTTCTAAACCTGATATTGTCACCTATAATGTAATGGCTGCTGGGATGGCTAGAAATGGTCATGCTTGTGAGGCAATTAAGCTTTTGAATTGTATGGAGAATCAAGGTGTGAAGCCAAACACTACTACACACAAGAAGATCATTGAAGGTTTATGTTCAGGAGGAAAGGTTTTAGAAGCTGAGGCATATTTTGACAGACTGGAAGATAAGAGTGTTGAAATCTATTCTGCCATGATGAATGGCTATTGTGAAGCAGACCTTATTGATAAATCCTACCAACTTTTCCTTAAGCTGTCAAACCAAGGAGATATTGCAAAGGAAAGTTCCTGTTTTAAGTTACTTAGCAAACTCTGCATGGCAAAAGAAACTAACAAAGCCTTTGTGTTACTTGAGAAAATGTTGTTGTTGAATGTGGAACCTAGCAATATAATGTATTCTAAAGTATTAGCTGCTGTGTGCCAGGCTGGGAATATGAACACTGCTCGCTCTTTGTTTGATTTTTTCATTCAGAGAGGATTCACCCCTAATGTTGTAACTTACACAATTATGATAAATAGTTATTGTAGGATGAATTACTTGAAAGAGGCTCATGACCTATTCCAAGACATGCAGAGGAGAGGGATCAAACCTGATGTCATTACTTACACAGTTTTACTTGATCACAACTTAAAAGCAAATTTAAGAAGACATTTTTCTCGTTCACATGGAAAAGTAAAGACAACACCATTTGGTATTTCCACCATTTGGAGAGATATGAAGCAAATGGAAATAAGTCCCGATGTTGTTAGTTACACTGTGTTGATTGATAATCACATGAAGACAGATAACTTTCAAGAAGCAATTAACCTCTTTGATGAAATGATTAACAGAGGACTAGAACCAGATACTGTAACATACACTGCCATGGTCTCTGGCTTCTGTAACAGAGGGCACATAGAGAAAGCTGTTATGCTGCTTAATGAAATGTCTTCTAAGGGAATTACACCAGACTTGCATATCATCTCAGCTTTAAAACGTGGTATTATAAAAGCTAGAAAGGTGCAATTTCATAAGTAGTTAATCAGTTTAAACTGTTTGCACTTGGATTGATTCCAATTTCTTAGTACCTAAAGGTAAAGTAGAATCACACATGCTATTGACTTATTTGTTAAGAGTTATGGCTGAAACATAGTTATTTAATTATTGCATTGAAAGAATGTATTTCCTTCTACAGGTTGGAATGAGAGGAGCTTTGCGAATTGCAGATTCATTAATTGTACATAGGTATGGTTCTGCATTATACTGAATTAAAATGATATGTAATTATGAAAGCATAAGTAATGTAATTGAGCAGAGTTCAAGAAAATTTTTCTTGTTTCTACTTGTTTGGTTTAGATTACAATGAATGGTGTGTTTGAAGTTCGGTAGTTTGAATCTTGCAATTTTAATTTAGTTTGAGGTCTTTCTTCTATATTTATTATTTAATGAGGTCTTTCTTTCATATTATCTAGAAACAATATGCAACTTTTCTGTATTTTGTTGCCTCCTGTTGTGAAAAATGACATTTCAACCGTTTGATACCTAATTTTGAGATTGATTGAAGTGATTCAATCTTCATTTCTGGATGCTCATGTTTCTTGGATTGGCACCCTGTTTGTGACACTGACACCTATTGCTAATATGCCTAGGATAGACATCAGCTGATCAACGAGAAAGATTAATGACATCAGAAATGCAATGTAACCACAAAAGGGTGGGGTTTTGAAAAAAGTTTGCACTACAAGTCTAGACTCCAGAAATATATAAAACCTAACTTTCACAGACCATTAGGATGAAATGGTTAATGGAATTCAATGACTGTATAGTCTAAGGAGAAGGTCCTTATATGTTGAAAAGCCTAAATGTATATTGAATGGGATGGATCATGGAAGTCAATGACTGATAGTGACCATGACTATATGTTAAAAGGCTAGGATTTCCTGTTGTTATTTAATGGTAGTAAACTGCCAGCTGTACAATTAACATGCTGGAGATTCACAATCTCATTTGGTTTTTCCTTCTAACCTGTGTTATGTGTAGATCTAGTTCAGAATCAGGTAGGGGTAGACTGCAAGCATCTTGTAGTTTATGCAGTTCTCTGGTGTATTTAGTTGGTTTGATGAGTGTCCCTTTACTCAGGTTTGTTATGAGCCAGAAATGTATTTATTTTTGGTTTCAATTTAGTGCTACGCTCATGTTTTTTTTCAAACTTTCAATTGAACTCTTGATTATTGACATGCAAATAGACTGGACTGGTCTGTTGCAACATTTTCTTTGTTTCAGCCACTTTTGCGTAAGAGTGGTTTTTATCTTTGGCACACACCATCACACAAAAGCCAAATTTGCTTGAAGTGTTAAAGGCTAGAACCGCCATACTTTGCTGAAATTTATTTTAATTAAGAAGCATGGGTGTGGCAATGGTCTAACTCTTGACTGCTTGGTTGAAGGGGCTTTGATGCCTTTTCAGAAACCAACTTTTTAAAGCCATTATGTGGAGGACAGCTGACTTTTTCTCTTGACAGTTTTAGCCGTGTCGCACAGTATAGGTGTTGGAGCTGAACACTCCACTGCATAGAGGTGTCGGTGCTTCACAAGTTTTAGGTGCATGTATTACATTTAACTTGAAATTCCATATTAGGGATATGTGGATGTGGTTTGAAGTTCATCAATGGAGATTATGATTGACTGTTGTTGTGATAGTGGTGTCCAAAAACATGATGCATTATTGGAATGATCAATTTAGTGAGCAGGGTTGCAAGGAATCAAGACTGCGTTATTTGAGGCAGAAGAAATTATATAGTGTAGAATCTAATTTGCTTCTAAAAATATTTCTGCTCTTCTCATACTTGTTTTCTTTTAATTGTCCTTGCATATTAGATTGGTAAGGAACTTATAGAATGTATATAAAGATAAAGATACATTGATGGGTAAGATTGTTGCACTGAAGAAAGTTCAATCCGACAATTTGGAACCTGAGAGTGTAAAATTCATGGCTAGAGAGATTATTATTTTGCAAAGATTGGATCATCCCAATGTTGTAAAGCTAGAAGGTTTAGTTACATCAATTGTACCTGGTGTTTGATTACATGGTGCATGATTTTGCCGGAGTTGCTGCAAGCCCTGACATCAAGTTCATAGAGCCTCAGGTTAGACAAGGTTTGCCTTAATAATCTAAGAAATAAAAGATATCCTGTGGTACACTTTTATTTTTTCAATTGGCAGTATTTGATGTCTCCAAATATTATGTTTCTCCTACTGCAGGTTAAATGTTACATGCATCAACTACTATCAGGATTTGAGCACTGTCATAATCGACCTGTACTTCATCCTGATATTAAAGGATCAAATCTTCTTATTGACAATGAAGGAGTACTTAAAATTGCTGACTTTGGACTTGCATCTTTCTTTGATCCAACCCACAGACATTCCATGACTAATCGTGTAGGTACCCTTTGGTACCAACCTCCTGAGTTGCTTCTTGGTGCGACAGAATATGGTGTGGGTGTGAACCTTTTGAAGTGTTGGTTGCAGTCTAGGAGAGTTTTTGGCTGGGAAACCTATTATGCCTGGTCGTACAGAGGTGAAAACTTAAATGTCTTGTTTTGGCTAATAGGATTTTTCATTTCCCTCAAATCTCTGCATAACAGAGGGTGGTACTTCAACATGTTTTCTGCTTTGAAAGAGTTAAAAAGAAGTCACATGTCCTAACAGAGGAGTTTGCTTTCTAGACATGCATGTTTGAACCTTTTAGTTAATGCATTGCCACCCCTCCCCTCTCCCTAACCCTTTCTTCTCACGAGGGTAAGCCTATGTACATTATTTAACCCATGTTCTGTGGGCTGTACTTCCATTTAGAAGGTTGGCATTGTGCATATCTGCAATGAATATGTAGACATGCAATCAATGAGAAATCAACTAAGAAAAGCTGAAAAAGCATGGCATTGCACATGCAGAAGCTGTGGACCTATTACTAATTCACTATGCTATTTCCTAAAACATTTTTCTTTGTTGAATGTTAGAAAGTCATAGTTTCCCCACTATTATTTAGTTGTGTTAAATGGTAAACCAAGTAATGCACCCTCAAAAGTAGAAGGATAATTAAGACATGCATTTCTAAGGATTTAGTGGTACTTATGAGTTGTGATTATGAAGAGAGTATTAATAATTTTGCTTCGCTTTATCTAGTTATGCAATGTGGACTGATAACTAAGAAACTACATGAGAACTTGCATTTTATTTGCTACTTATTTGAAATCTCCATTGGATATTTTCTTACCCTTTTCTTGAATACTTACATAGGTGACAACTGCATAAGAAATACAAACTTTGTGGTTCACCTTCCGATAAGTATTGGAAAAGGTCAAAATTGCCTAATGCTACCTTGTTTAATTCTTGAGAATCATACAAGAAATGCATAAGAGAAACATTTATAGATTTTCCACCTTCTGCACTGCCCCTTATTGATACTCTTCTTGCAATTGATCCAGCAGAACAGAAGACTGCCTTGGATGCTCTAAGAAGTGAGGTGGGCTTATGAAAATTCCTGATCTTTCTGTCATTAAAATGCTGACATGGTGTTCTTAACTTTTATATTGCCTTGTTATTGATATTCTGATTTCATGCCATTTAGACTGTTGTAATCTATTGGATCCTGATTTATTCTTAGTCTGTGTAGATTGCCTAAAGCACATGCTTAAAGCTCTCTTGTGAAACATACAATAAGGCGCATATTGAACTTCTTAAAGGCCTTAGGCCTGTGACTTATTTGTGTAACTAACTTTATTAGGCAGTATGATCCTTAACTATAATAATTTCTGGTGGTTGCTTCTAATTTTTACAACAATCTTCAGGAAGTATGATTCTTCAGCTACTTGTCGTGGATTTCTTAGACAAAAAAATCATGCTTGAATGTTATAAACTGCTGCTTTAGGGGAATAGTCCATCAAATCTTGAATGTTGTCTGAGGAAAACCATTGTAATTATGTTTCAGCCTGATGATGTGCCTCTCTCTTAAGCTTTGTTTATTTTAGAATATGTATCCCTTCTTGGAATAGGATGAACAAGTTTGATTTGATGTATAATCAAATGGTGGTGTCTGGGTAACATTGGAAGTCAATTCACTGTGGCTTGTGTTCTTTGGAATAATGAGTAATAAATGTTCTAAATGATGGAATGTATGGTATATTTTAAATGATCATGATAAGATATGTGGATATTCCAATATTAATGTTAATAATTTGAAACTTCTATTGAATCTGATGTAGATGTTATCTTTGCTGAATTTAGATGCTCTTTTTCAAAAATCCCATATACGTTTAGTGTGCTTGACTTTCCTATCATTTTGCAGTTTTTTCCCACCGAACCTTATGCTTGTGATCCTTCTAGTCTCCCAAAATATCCCCCAACCGAGAAAATGGATGCTAAACGCAGGATGATGAAACAAGGAAGTAGCTTTCCTCTTTTAAGTTTGCTTTCTACATGCTAGAAGTTTGATGCACACTAAATGTGAATATTCAGGGAAAGAAAAACCAATGAGATATTATTTAAAAGAAAAAGGATTTGGAGTTGAAAGTGGGAGGAGGAATTGGATAACAAGGGCAAAAGTGTAAGATGTTGTTAACAAATATATTTTTTACTATTTGAATTATTCAATGTTATTTATAACCTTATATCTTTTTCAGTAACTTACAAATATGCATTATGCAGATAATAAGGATTGCTCTTTTGGAACTTTTGGGACAAAAAGTGGAGACTGAAAATGTTTACATATTCTCTTTATTAACAATAGTGATATAGGTGGCAAACTATATTTTTCCTTGAAGCATGCTTTAATCTTATGAGTTATGACTGTACATCCCTTAAAGATGATGAGCAGATAAAAGGGAGTCTGTTTCAACTTACACCACCCAAACACACTGACATACACACTGTTTATAGAGATCACTAAAGTGAAAAGTTTTCCTTTGGTTAACCTCCACAAATTTTAATCTAGCCATACTATTATATTTGACCAACTCCGAGATACTCTTTGAATATGAACATTCAGATTAAGAGCTGCAGGCAAAGCTCATGATGGTGCAAAGAAGCATCAAACACATGATCGTGCTGTAAAAGCTGTTCCTGCTCCTGAAGCCAATGCTGAGCTTCAATCCAATATTGATGGATGTTAAAGAAAATTACTTCTGTAGATAATCATGTATTTTTGATGCATTGGTTTATGAAGTCACTGAATAAATGTGCTTTGAGATTATTATATCTTCCAAGAATGTATAATTAATTGAAATGATTGAAAGAGCAAGTAGAAAGAACGGTTGGGATATGGCTACTGAACTTTATTGATTGTTCTCATCCTGACACAGATATCTGGGAATCATGATTTCCAGTAGATTAGTAAGATTCTGGCAGTAAACTAGATGATGATTAAAGCTATTGATTTGCTTCTTTTATGTGTGTTTGTGGCATTGTCTCATTTTATTCTTGCTTGTCTTTGTACTTCTGCTTTTCTTCTAAAAGAATTATTTTTCATTTATTATAATTGAAAATCTGTACGATTATGATTGAAAGTAAAAAGTAACAGTGATTAAAATTTGCTATGATTTAACATGTAACAGAGAAGGCGTTTAATCACTCATGCAAATGCAAATGCAAAGAGCAAGAGTGAAGAGTTCCCTCCACCGCATGAAGATGGACAACTTGGGTTTCCTTTGGGTTCTTCAAATCATATTGATCCAGATATTGTTCCTCCTGATGTCTCTGTGGGTTCAACTTCATATACCTTTTCAAAGGAACCATTCCAAGCTTGATCAGGTCCCATTGGTAATTCTGCTAGCATTGGTGTCACAAAGCGCATGAAACATACTGCTACCAAGCATTGGATTTATCAAAACCATATAAGGGTGCCCCCAGGGATAAGGTTAAAGGAAAGAAAATCATATCTTAGATAGTATACATTCTTATAGAGTTAAATTCAGAAAGATTCTGTCCCTGGTGCCTCATTTTTTAGTGTTGGAGTCCAATCACTACTCGATTTTAAATTTTTTCATAGTTTTTATCTATTGATTTTTCATTTAAACAGAGGTTTTCTTTTTAGTTTGTGGGGTTGTTAACTCTGTTGGTATGATAGATAATTACTATGATGTACACCGTGATTTTTTGTTTTTATACTTGTGTTAATATCTGAATTCTCTTCAATTTGTTGAGAATTCACTTTTATATATAATTTGAGTTCTAATTTTTAAACGCGAGTATCTTTAAAAGTTATTTTAAACAAGAGTATTTTTAAGTTTTTTGTTTTCTTCATTTTATTGTGGTTTTTCATGCATTGAGTCTTTAATTTTTGTAATTTATCTTAATTTAAAAAATTTAAATTTTTGTAATATATTTTTGTATTTTTTAATTTTATTTCTTTAATTAATTTTATTGAATTTGATATTTTTTTTAATATTTAATATTTATAAAATTTAAAATAGTTATAAAATACAATTTCAATTTAATAAAATTCGTGCAATTCATGATAAATTCACTTGTGCAATAAATTTTTGAATTGTTTTTGTATCCTCTAATGATTGGGCCAACCATATTAACTTCTTTCCATTCAACCATGTTACCTTACCTCTCTAAACCACTTCAAAGATAAATGAAATACAATAAAGACACTTACAATTGATACACATCATATGATGATTTATGGAAACAAGAGTTATGTACTCTAAAGGGGTGGTTGAGTGGAGCAGGTCGTGTGCAGAAGGATATAGGCCCACTCTTAGTTTTTACAATTTTATATTAATTTATTGTTTATCATATTATATAATATTAAAAATATTATTCAATGATTACCAATTTATTCCTAATTTAACCATGATTGAATTATTAAATGGTGAATTAATATATCTACCGATTTAATCGCTGGTTGAATTTTAAATCATTGAACTGCATAGTCTCTAAGGAGACAACAGTTCCTGTTTTTATGGGTACAAAATAAACACAAAGACAACCCTGAAGCCCAAAAAGTAACATCGATGGTGTGCTTTGTTCATTGACATGCTCTAATGTTCTGGAATTTCTTTTTTGCACCACCCTTTTCTTTTACATTGCATGTCCTTTTTCTTTTTCTTTTTGTAAAAACTGCTCTTTCAAAATTTTAATTTTAAAAATGATGCATAAATTCTTTAAAATTTTAATTTTTAGAAGAATGTTTAATATACACTAAAAATGCTTGAAAACTAATATCCCACATCAGTAAAAAGTATTGCTTTCAAATCTGATTCATCAAGGAAAAGAGTAGCAACTTTAAGAAAAACAACCTTTACAAATGAATTTCACTCATCACCATCAATATTCTACATTTTGGTCTCACCCTAATAATAATTCTTACTCTTTCTTTAGAGCAATTAAAGATTTGTGTGTATAAAAACTAAATCTTCAGCCATTTTAGGGTTGAGCCTATTTCTTTTTATGGAATGAGGAATAGGTGCTCTAATTTTGCTCACAATAAGAAGAAGAGGATACTTGTGAAAGGACCTTTAAAACAATGATTTGAAGTTTAGGAAGTGCAGTACCACAAATGACCAAAATAATATCGTTTTAATTGGTACGCATACCCAAAATGTATCCACTTTTTTTTTATAAATATTCTCAAGTAGGAATTCGGTGTGTACCCAACACGTATCCAATACATACTCGTACTAGATATGTACCCGATATTGTTACGCTCAATTTTTTCACATACCCGTGCTTTAAAGATGAGCAAATAACTCACCACAAATTTAAAGTTGGGACTTTTAAATGAAACAACTATCACAAAGAAAAGGAAACAAGAAATACTTTCATGTTTGAAGCATGTATTTGTTGCTCTCACAAAGTTGTTAACCACTTATATGTACAAATAAACTACTCAATGACAATGTAGTTCCCATTATATGTATCTCATGGCATGTGCAAGTTGTTAGATATTTGGCTCTTATCCTATGTGAAGAAAATATTTAATTACTTATAAAAGTAAAGATAAATTTTTAAGATTGTATGAAAGAAGAAAAGAGAGAGGTCATGTTCATATTTTCTATCTTATAATGAGAGCAAAGAGAAACATCATTAGTTAGAGTGAGAGAAAATAAGAGAAAGTTATTCTTATACAAACTTAGAGCAATCTTAGTTAATTTATGTTTACAAAGTTGTTTAAAGTTGGATTAAATTGAAAATATGTAACAATTTCAAAACATTTATTTTAATCATTTAAAAAATTATATTTAAATTTATGAATTTTTTTATTTAACATAAAAATATTTATTATTAGTAGTTATAATATCTACTCTTTTTTAGACTTATAAAATTTAAAAATAGTCATAAAATATGTTTTAATTATTTATTTATATTTTTGATTTAATCATTTTATAAAGAACCTAGGATAATTTTCTCTTATTCAGAAATATTTGTTTGAAATTTATGTTTAAAGTATCTAACCAAGCAGCGGTAAGACAATACATTATAAGTTGAATAATCTGGAAGTTGAAAATGAACTAAGACACATACACACGCAATAACTTATGTCTAAGTCAAGGTTTGTTTAAAAATTGCTTACCTGGTGATACCTTGCCTATATGTGAAAAACAATTTATTGAGGAATAATCATGAATATCAAATTGATGTAATGAGGTGTGACCTTTAAGATGAGTGTCAAAAGTGGGAAGAGGAGTTGCATCTTTAGAACTTTAGAAATCCAAAGTATAGAATACCTGATATAATAATTAATTTGATAACAAATATTATTATTATTTTTGGAATATATTGCAGGAAGACAGACAAAGGGCTTTGTTGCAGTTGCAGTGGAAAGTGATGAATAACAAGCCAATAGAGGACCACGAAGTGAATTCAAAATAGGGTTGACTCATGTTTTCAATCTCTTTTCCTGTGTGTCTGTCACCAAACTCAGATGTCATTTTGGTTAATTTGCATGTTGAGATACCTTGCTTTTGACATATTACATTTGTTTTTTCCAAGGCACACAAGTATAAACTGGTTACTGATAGCATTATTATTTAATGACTATTTAGAGACAGGTTATTAGATAGAATTAAATAACTTATGATATTTGGCAATCGCCTTAGCTCCTTTAATGGGTAGGTACCTCACCACAAATTTGAAGCTGAGACTTCTAAATGAAACAACTATCACAAAGAAAAAGAAATAAGAAGTACTCTCATATTTGAAGCATGTACTTGTTTCTCTCACAAAGTTGTTAACCACTTATATGTACAGATAAACTATACAATTGCAGTGTAGTTTCCATTATATGTACCTCATGACCTGTGCAAATTGTTAGATATTTGGCTCTCATCCTATGTGAAGAAAATATTCAAAATGAGCAAGTTTACTATGTTTTAGTTATAAAAGTGAAGACGAATGTTTGAAATTGTACGTGGAAAGAAAAAAGAGGTCATATTCATATTTTCTACTTTATAACTCACTAGCTAGAGTGAGAAAAAAATGAGAGAAAGTCATTTAAATATAAATTTAGAACAGTCTTAGTTAATTTGCATTTACAAATTCGTTTAAAGTTAGATCATACTGAAAATATGTAATAATTTTAAATTATGTAATTTTTTATTTTGAATAGTTAGATTATTAAAACAAAATTTGAAGTACCGTTAACATCGATGTAATAATAATTATTTTTATGTATATAACACTTATTTTTTTTCAGAAAGATGGACATGGAACATTCATTATATTCATTTTATTAACTATGACCTTAGTAGTCCATATGTAGCAGATAAACCATGGATTTGTGAATAATTGAATCTGCTTCTAGGTGATGCAAGAGAAATGCAGGACTGACATAATTTCATTACTCCTTAAAACAATTCTTCAGTGACTATACAATAGCCTTAAAATATTTGATACATTCAATACTTTTACATTAACATAGGACAAGTTAATGCTCTTAATAATTATATATATACACATAATTAACTTTTTATGACACGAGAGCTTATAATTGTATCATATATTGAAAATAATTTCTTAAAAATAAATTTAAAAAGATTCTAATAAATTATTTTGAATTAAAACATTTTAAGAAAACTATAAACAATTTTCATTAACTCTATCAAGCTGTGTCCAAAATTTTATTAAATGCGTGCCTAATTAAAATGATATTCAAAGATATCCTAAAATCAAAACGACTTTGTATGTTATGACGTTTTATCATCATCTCTCTGACTTACTCTGGTCGGGTGTACGGGCACGTGGAGCAGTGGCTAAGGCACGCGTGTATGACCGTGTCACAGAGGCAGTGCAGTTCAAAGGTGATTTTCGCCTCCAACATACACCCTCGTTTCTTTCTTCTTGTTCCTGTTATGCTATGTTGATGTTAACAAGAGAAACGAATGACAACGTTGGAAAGATAGAAATTTGTCTCCAACCCACAACCCAATTTTCACTTGGCTTATTTAACTTAGAATATTTTTCTCACCTTTCTACTATACTCTAATTTCCTCAAATGTAGAGTAGTCTTTTTTTCATTTTTATTTTTTTAAGTTCAAGGTGTCCAAATGTTATTAAATTAAATTTTCAACTCATTTGTTATGTGAGTGTGTCTATGTTAGTTCCTTATCTAAATGCTTGTGATGATATATCCTTTTATTATTATCATTCTCTTATGTTTTATTCAATTTTCATTGGTTGATTGCTCTTTCAACTTGCAGTTTCAGTCTTGGGAAATTGATGGGTCACCTTCTGAATCTTCTCCATGGAACTGTCTTCTTAAACAGTTTGTGTTTTAATGACTGCCCCAAGTTGGTTAGACAAAAAACATGTTCTTATACTGAAAATTTTTCCAAATTTCAGAGATATAACGGTGCCCCATATGCGTTGCAAGGTTGTTTTAATTGAAGTATTTTTTTTTAATTTAATTTTCTTTTTGTTTTTATTACTGTGCTTTAATTTGATGTTATTTTTGACAGGCAATGGGGAGTTAGCAACTCATGTTGCAAGCTCATTTAACCGTAAGGTAGTATACTTTCTAGGTCCCTTTTGTAATAAATGCATGAACTTGAGTACATTGTTTTCTGAAATTTAGTAAAATAAATATGCTTGTGGAGGATTGCCAGTGATTTGCTTGGTCTGATAAGTGATAACATGTAAGAAGGGAAACGAGGGAGAGAGGGTGAAAGTCATAAAGAAAGAGAGAAAGCAAATGTATAAATTCTGGAGGCACCCGCTAATAGTCATCATTAAGTCTTTGGTGCTTTGCTCATTCTTGTTGAAATTACATTCAATTATGCAGGGCAAGGGTGGCTAGGATCTATCTCATGACAGTTTTGATGCTGTGTCAAGGACTAAAAATTCCTCAAAGCTATTAGTAATTGTTCTGTAAAAATTAAGAAGTATTGAAAGAGAAGGACAACGCTTACACATTTTTCATCAACAGTATTACAATTTAAAACTTCAAAAACATAACTACCCACTAACCCATGTTCCTATGACTAAGCCACATAAAACTTAACTGCTTCCTAAAACTGGGCCAACACTTTGACAATATAAACAACAATAATAAAACACACGTGGAGTCCTAAAGCAATTTCCTAACACTCCTCTTGCTTTAGAGGCTACAAACACCAAGCTTTTCTTTGATAAGCTCAAACTTGCTGACTGACAAGGGTTTTGTAAATATGTCACTCAGCTGTTCTTCTGTCCTGCAGTAGGCAAGAGTTATTTCTCCATCCTTTTGCATCTCTCTCAAGAAGAAAAGCTTGATATTGAAATGCTTGATATTTCCATGAAACATAGGGTTGTGAGAAATTGCAATTGCAGCTTGATTATCCACAAATACTTATGTACCTCTAGTCTGTTGCATATGCAAATCAACCAAAATTTTCCTCAACTACAACTTGATTTACTGCTGCTGTTGTAGTCACAAATTCAGCTTCGGCAGTTGATTGAGCCACAATATCCTATTTTTTTTTTTTAACACTTAGAAAGCTCCTACGCCAAAAGTAAAACAATATCCTAAAGTACTCTTCATATCATCCAAAGAAACACCCCAATCATTGTCAGAGTACCCAAACAACCTCATATTCGGACTTCTCTGAAACTTGACTCCATAGTTGATGGTTCCTTTGATATACTTGACAACTCATGTCTAGTTTAAACTCATCAATAAGCTTTACACTGCTACCAGTAATTAAAAGGTCATCCACATAAAAAGAAACAAGAAGAATCTCCTTGCTATTGTATTTAACATAAAGTGTAGATTCTGAAATACTTCTTTTAAAGCCAAGGCTAAGCAAAAAATCATCTATTCGACTATACTAAGTTCTTGGGGCTTGTTTTAGGCCATAAAGAGCTTTATATAATCGATAGACTTTTTCTTCTTTACCTTCCACCACAAAACCTCCAGGCTGGTTAACAAAATTTCTTCTTCAAATATCCCATTAAGGAATGCTGATTTGACATCCATCTGATAAATTTTCCAGCCAAGTTAAGCAGAAATAACAAGTAATATAATCATATCAAAGCTAGCAACTGGTGCAAATGTATCATAGTAATCAACACTGAAAATTTGTGCATACCCTTTAACTACAAGCCTCGCTTTATGCTTGTTAATTGAACCATCAACAAATAATTTGGTTCTAAATAACTATTTCTCCCCAATTACCTTTTTGTCTTGTAGTTTATTAACAACCCCCCAAGTTTTGTTCTTTTCAATTATAAACAACTCCTACTTCATCACATTCTCTCATTTGGAGTCTTTGAAAGCTACTTCATGATCAACTGGTTCACATATTGCAACATTACATCTCTCATATGTTTCAGAAAGCAATTGAGTGCCTCTAATTGGTGGACCATCCTCCCTTTCATCTAGCCATTAGCTTGTCTTTGGTGATAGTATCTTTGAGTCTTTCCAATCCCACTCTTCATTTTCCATGAAATGCATATCTCTGCTAATTGTTATAGTTTCAGTTTCAGGCTGGAAAACTTTATAAGCTTTTGAAACTGTATTGAGGCGTTCGGAACCTATCCTAGTAGAGGAACCAACCCCAAGAAAACCTGACCAAAAGATAGCCTGGTCCTTCCCTTACTAATGCTTATGCAGGATCAGTAACCAATGAAAATTCTAGCAATAGCCTTTTTGTCTAGTTTATCTCATTTAACTTGTGGGACATAAGTAAAACAAAGATAACCAAACACTTTAAGAAAATGCATTTTAGGTTTGTATCCATGTCATGCTTCAAAAAGAGTTTTATTGTTCACTGCCTTTGTGGGAAGTCTATTTTGTAAGAACATGACTGTATTTGTTGCCTCTGCCCAAAACTTCTTTAGCAAATTCTTTTCATACAACATGCATCTGGCCATCTCCATAACAAATTTGTTTCTTCTCTTATTGACTCCATTTTGTTGTAGAGTACAAGGAACTGTAAGTTTATGTTCAATTGTTAGTAATTGTTCTGTAAAAATTAAGAAGTATTGCAGCAAAAGAGAAAGGAAATATGACATGTATTGAAAGAGAAGAACAATGATTACACATTTTTCATCAACAGCATTACACTTGAAAACTTAAAAAACATAACTACCCACTAACCCATGTTCCTATGACTAAGCCACATAAACCTTAACTGCTTCCTAAAACTGGGACAGCACTTTGACAATTTAAACAACAATAAAAAAACACATGTGGAGTCCTAAAGCAATTTCCTTACAAAAGCTTAAGCCATTTGATGTATACCTAACAAACACCTGGGCATGAAGTGTGAACAAGGCACAGCCTATCATACCTTATGCTGAAACTCACTTTAATTATGAAGTACGAGAAATGGATTCCTAAGTCCTGACCACTTGGTCACAAAGGTTTTGATGCCACAAGGAGTTCTGAAAGTGTGGGCATTTGCCTGCCCAAGATTGATTTTATATTCATAAAAGATCTTGCTTAATGGTCCTTAACATTAATGTCGAGCTAAATATGCTTGGTTGTTTGGATCTCAAAATTTCCAATTCTGTGTGTATGATTTTTATAATTTTGTCTCGATTCTGGAAATCAATGGCATAAAATCATATTGATGTCATATAGCGTAACCAGTTAGAATAAATTTTATGTCAAAGATTGTTGTTGTAGGCTAAGCATAATTGTTGTATTCTTTCTTGAAAGGTGTTATTGTTGTTGCTCTAAATTTTATGATTTTACTGTTAGATTTACATTAGTAATGGAGGAGAGTTGAATGGTATTCCTCATATACAAACTCTTAGAGAATTTCCTAGGGAGGAGCTTTTTGGAAAAGTTATCATGGTCAGATTTGATTCTAGCATATTGCTCAAGCAAGAGTGCATTGAGGAGACTCAACCAGCTTTTAATGCAGTATATACTGTTAAATATTTACATGAAGCCGGAGCAAAGGTCATTCTGGTCAGTGATTGGAATATGAATACTCCAGAACTTCACATAAATTCAGTCGCAGGTACATTCTTAAAGGCTTTTGCGATCTGTGTTACCAGTTGCACCAAGGGAGTTTGGCTTTTTCTCATTTTATGAACTGTTTATAGTAATTCTAGTTTATTTATTTATTTAATATTGAAGCGCAAACATGTAATCAATATGAGCAATGAAATTAACAAATTGCTTCTTTTATATGAGGGATCTTAGATATATGATTATTGATTGTGGCTATACTATAGATTTCTTATCAGCAGTTCTTCAAATACAAGTTGTTCCACTGCAAGGAATTTCTTGTAACAAGCTATCAAAGATGAATGGCATTGAGAAGGAGAATATCCATCTTCTCCAGAATCTCTCTAATATTAAAGAGGAAGTTGCTAATTGTTTCCAGTTTTCCAGAGTATTATCATCAGGAGTTGATATCTTTGTCAATGACTCATTCTCCAACTCTCATAAAGTTCTAGCATCTACTGTTGGTGTTACCCGTTTCTGCTATGCCTGTATATCTGGTTTTCACTTTGAGGAGAGGCTTTATGTACTGAAGAAACTTGCAGAAGCCAGCAGGAAGCCATATGTAGCAATTGTATGACTCTGCTGTTGCTATAGCATTAATTATGAGAAATAACTATTGCATACAAGACGGTTTCAAGTTCTTTATTTTTTTATTGTGATGGTGAATAGCCTCAAGTTCTTTTGTTGATAAATTTATTCCCTTTTTGTTTCTCATACAATCCAGATTGGAGGGGGTAATCTATATGATAAAGCAGCTTCCTTTCAGTTTTTAGCTTCCAGATGCCAAGGGTTTGTTTTTGTTGGAATGATGTCATTTCAAATAATGCATGCATTAGGAGTATCAGTCCCTCGTAATTTGGTGGACCATAAGGTATTTAATGAAGCTCTAGATATAGTGAGACTTGCTCGAGATAGAAATGTGCAGATTCTGTATCCAAAAGATTTTTGGTGCAGGAATAAATGTGATCCAATGCGATTGCAAGTATTTCCTTCTCATGGAATTTTGGATGGTGAGCTTTTCTTCAAATTGATAATGGGGTTGTTGATACATAGTTATTCAGTCAGACATTGTTTTATTTGGTAAATAAAATTAATCCAAATTTGATTTTGATCTAGGTTGGGTACCTGTTGACCTTGGACCAGTATCATTGGATGAAATGGGTTCTATGCTTAGAAATTGTAAGGTACAGTAGCAATATTTTATTCATTTTAAGCATAAACAACTGTTGGTTTAATTTCTTAATATATATTAAAGCATCTTTAGATGACTATCAACATTGGGGTTGATTTATCATTTCATTCATTTGTGTTCTAGGAAATCTTTTAAGATGGGGATTTTATGTCTGCATCTTACTGCTAATTTTAGTTCAAATTTGTGCACTTGATCAATATCATGCAATGGCTCTGGTTATTGGTAATGGATAATGGTGTTTCAGTTTACGTTGATGGATTATCCATCCATTTTAAAATTTAATGAGGCATCACCTAACATTTTTCTTTGAATCCATTACAGAAAATAATTTGGATTGGTCCAGTAAAATTTGTTGATTCAAGTAAATACACAAATGCAGCATCTAAAATAGCAAAAATCCTTTATCAACTAAGCCAAAGCAACTGTGAAATAACTGTTGTTGGGACTATGGCATGCAAAATGGTGAGACAGGAAAAAAGTTCGTTGTCCTTCATAAATATGATTGAGAATGCTTCAGTTGTATGGGAATTTCTCAAAGGAAGAAATCTCCCTGGTGTTATGGCTGTCGACAGGGTATGTCTTAATAAAGCTCTATTTCCTTATAGCATTATTCAGCTCTATATTTCAGGAGATTAATGCAGTATATTCTCAAAACATTTTATTCTTCAAAACAATCTTGTATGCTTCTTGTGCTTGAATTGTATGGATTTTGCCACTGAAATTTGTGGAGATCTCACTTTCTTGATATTCATGTCTGATGTGAGTTTTCTCTAGTAAAATAACATGGTCACCAAGTCCATCATTTTAGATGCTATGAGTTGGATCAAACCAAAGTATGTAAATGATGTTCCTTAAAAGAAAATAATATCTCTGTTTCTATTTATTTGTTAAGATAGAGATGGAATTTGTTCCTACTTATCTGTCATGTAGAAGTTCAAGACAATATTAATTACTATTCTTATACTAATGCCCTTTTGTCCATATAAATATTTATACTATTTGAGTAGTCCAAGAGTAATAAAGAGACCCATTAATAGAGGGAAAATTATTAAGTTTAACAATTAATTCAACAAAATGATTGAATCTCTTAGTTTGTGTGATTTCTTCTCTCTCTAGACAGATAAATAGGAACGAAGGCAATATATTTTTGCTGTTTAACCAGCATAATCCTAAATTGGACAAAATTTAGATCAGAAAATCTTTTAAATGCATATTAAGTAATAAATGAAGCATTAAAAACATTGGCTTTTCCCATAATATTTTGAAATAGTAGCAATTTTTCTCGTAGATGAATGTAACTAACAATTTAGGAATATAAGGTCAATATTGGTATTTTTGCTTGAAAGTAGTGTAATAATAAAACATTTCATTTAATCATTCTCATGAATCTGATATTGCTTTATGCAACTCAAAATAATAAAACTTTCAGCGTGAATGATATTATGGTAGTTACCTTTTGCAGGGATACCCTTTTGAAATCAACTGGAACAGCATTTATTCTAACCCAGCTCAATCTCTGGTTGTTGATATAGGAAGTGGTATCTATATATTTATTAAATTAATTGTTCCCTATGTCGTATCTAATAAAACTATGTAACTCTAAACGTATCTGTAAATTCTCTAGCACTATGAAATATATTAACAGTCTCAAGTTCTGTAATAAAGGGGACTCAGAAAGATAAATATAAATAGAACTTATGTTAATGACTTTTTTATATTGACACATGTGATCTAAATACAGGCAACGGGCTGTTTCTTTTTGAAATGGCTAGAAGGAGGAAAGATTTAAACTTCCTTGGTTTGGAGATCAATGAAAAGGTTCCATACTTGTTATCTCCTCTCCCTTTTACCTAAACTTTTTTGCTACATGCTATGCTTCTTTATTTATTATATTCTTTTATTTTTGGCCATTAACAACATTTTTCAGCTTGTTTTGCGCTGTCTGGACTCTATTCATCAGTCTGGCATAAAAAATGGGTAATGCTATTGCTTTCATATTACAGATAGATGGAGCATCTTTTTGGTTTTTTATTGGATTCGATGAAATGGAATTTTATCTTAGTTGAATGTCAAGTAACAAGGGCACATTCAATTGTGATCATATCTCACTAATTTTTCCAGTTCCTTCATGGTATAAATTTTACTGTGTAACTTTCTAAGCTTTGGTTTCCTGGTTTCTCCGTTTTAGGTACTTTTTTGCTACAAATGCAACATCAACATTTCGTTCTATTGTTTCTACTTACCCAGGAGAGTTAGTTCTTGTCTCTATACAGGTCAAGCGCTTGGATTTAATTCTGTTTTGAATTATAACATCACATTTTTACCATGGTGGGTCTTTTCTGTGCTATTATTGCCCCCATGTGTACACCTTTATTAATGCCACTGCCATAATTGCACCAATGAATGTATTTCAACATGCGAACCCTGCTGTTAGTGACCAAACTTTTTGGGCATCATTCATCTTCCAGTATTTCATTATACACACTACTATCACCAACAAACAATTACTTAGGCACAACTAGCTTATTAGCATAGTGCAGGCTCCTGCAATGCTGTTGCTGCTGCTTCCATTGCTTTATGGAAGATTTTATCATTCTCTGTATATTAGACTGAAATCTTATGTTTTCTGAGGGTAATATAAGCACTAACTTGAAAATAGTGAAATAACTACATTAAATTTAAATCCACTGTTTGGGGATAGAGATCCAGTCAAAGGATCTGCCGATCATTCTACTCACAATATTGTTAAAGTCAATTTATAGAAACAACTATTTTAATGTAAATGAGTCAGTTTGGTTTTAATGTAAATGAGTAATCACATTTTTTTCTATGTAATTCTCTTCTCCTCTCCATCAACTGCTAAGCCTTAAGATCTGTTTTGGCTTTATTTTTCTAGTGTCCGAACCCTGATTTCAATAAACCTGAGCATAGATGGAGGATGTTGCAGAGATCTTTAATTGAAGCAGTGGTGGATCTTCTAGCATCTAATGGAAAGGTAATTTTCCTCAATCAATGTGAAGTTTATGGTCAATTCTCTCCCTCATTAATCTTATAAATCACAATTACTTGTCACATATGAGTGGAAAGCAATGACTTTACAATACAGGAACTTAGTTGTTTTCAGTATTATATTTATTGTGCCTTTTCCTGTTTAGTCACAGTTGGTTATGCTGTGCAGTGGCTTACTCCATTACTATTCTTTGAATAGTTAAGAGTTTATTAATACTGAGGCTTATTTAGATTGTTGACTTCGACCAGGTCTTCTTGCAATCTGATGTAGAAGCTGTAGCAATAAGAATGAAAGAACTATTTTTGAGATATGGAAAAGGTAAGCTTGATTTGGTGCATGGCCAAAGTGATTGGCTTGAGGAAAACCCATTTGGAGTTAGGTCAGATTGGGAAAAACATGTTTTAGAGCGTGGGGCCCCTATGTACCGGATGATGTTTTCTAAATCACCTGATGTTTAGGGAAGTTTTGAGTTGCTAATGATGTGATCCAGAAATCTGGCTAATGCATGTTGTTAATGGATCAACCCTCCAAAGGGTTACTCTTTTTGCAGAATCTATATCACACACCCAATGATTTCTCCATGCTGGTGCTATTATAGGTAATAAGCAGTAGTCATTTCTTTGTGAATTTTATCTCTTATGACATGGATTAATTAACCATTTTGTTAAAGACAAAACTTAGTTGCAGTTTCTTAAGTATCTTTGGTACTATTTTTTCAATTAAAATTAGAATTTTTTTTTACAGTAATCCACAGAATAAAGGTCGGCATTTAAGGTTGGCATGAGATACCTAGGTGAAATTTCATTTTTAATTAGAAAACAACACTAAAAGCACCTAAGAATTTGCACTCAAGTCTTGTTCTTTTGTTAATGTGTCTTTAAAGTTGGTTTTTAACATCTAAAACATAATAATTTTTTTAATAAAAAAGAAAATATTAATTAAAATTTTATATTCTCGATGTAATAATTTTTTTTTTCTCAGTTTGTTTTTAGTTACTTAAAATCTGTTCCAAGCCAAGCAATGATGTTAACATTTTCTATTAATTATTTCATCTTAAAGTATTCAGGCGCATTGCAGGGTTGTACATCCTCATGGTGAGGGAGATGCAATGAATTGTTGATGAGCAAAGTTGAATATTCATTAAGGGAATACAACGTTATTACGCAATATGCATTTCATTTCTGCAAGAAAGATGTCAAAGTTAGCATTGTGTCTATTTTTAATGCAGTGATGATAGTTCAAGAACGTAAATTTTGTGTTCATTTAGATAAAAATTCGTGTAGGGAATCTTAAAACTAACGTTTTAAGTTAGAGAAAAAGATTTTTTTAAAATGTAATTCAAATTTAAAGGGAGGAAATCAAGAGAAATATTTTGTGGAGAAAGCCAGGCATGTCATTGGAAATCTAAAAGATGAGAAATAAAGTTTGAGTTTTTTTTTCAATAAAAAAAAGATAGAATGAACGAAAGAAAAGTGCTAAAATTAGGGAGGTTTTGTAACTGAGTAAGGCTATATTAAAGTTAGATAAAATATTTTTTTAATAATAGGAACATGTTTAAATTTTAAAGTAATCCAAAATTTTACTAAAAAGTTTACTGAGGTTGTGTCACACATTTAGTTGAACAGGCAACTTTTAGGTCTAGTTGAAAGACCTATATATATATAACTTATTAAAATAAGTTGTTTATTTTAATTAGCATTTGACTAATTTATGTATCCAAAATCATCTTTAATATAACAAGTCATGGTTTTTTTTTCTTTTGTATTTAATGAACTAATCTTTTTAAGTTAAATTATTTTGTGTTTAGGAATAACAAAATGATTCTCCTCATAAACAGAGTGCCAGTGGGGCTGATAAAGAACAATATATTCAGGAAAGAGAAAAATATGGATAAGAAGGAAAATAATGAAAACAAGTTGGTCACTTAAACCTATCCCAAGTGGTCAGAATATATATGGTGGAATATAATTATAGATTCCTAGTGCATTAGGGGAAAAGGGGTTAAAAAATGTGCCTTTGAAAAAGAAAAAGGAAGTTAGCATTGATCACGATACTTATCCTTCAGATTAAATAACATCAAATTTAATTAAATAATTTTTTTTAAATTAATTAAAAGTGAACTTAGTCAATCTAATTGTTTAATTTAAACATTTTACAAGTAGTACAAATTTTACATAATTTAAATATTAATTGATACTTTATCGTTTGTTATATTTTAACAGATGATATATTATTTAAAATACAACTAAATAGTTATTATTGAATGTTTAAATTGTAAAAAAAATTATATACTTTCAATGAAAGATATTGGATTTATATATATTTGTGTGTGTTGTGTTTGGTTGACTTATTCCAGCAATCAGATGATTATCTCCCATAATAATGGCATTAATTTTTGTGGTTTTACTTTGGGTGGAATTAGTGGCATATTAAGCATAGAGTAATGTAGCATTGTTTAGTGTAGTGGATCCCTTTACTCCAATGATAAAGAGAAATCAAATTGTTAATGGAAAACCGAATATGAAAAAAGAAGGAAATAGTTACATATTACAACTGTACCAATTGTTTAGGGAATTTGATTCGCTTGTGCTGATAATCTCTATATAAACTCAGGGAACCTTGGTTTTTCTTAAGCAAAGATCTTAATCAAAGACAATTTGTTCCATGTGTAAGGGGCAAGTTTTCAACCTCCCTCAAAATCTTCCAATGCTCCATTTGTAAATTTTACAGTGTGAATGTTGGAAGATTTAGAGGGAGTTTGTGAGCTTGACCCCAGAAAAAGGACCCTTCTTCTTTGCCTGAAATTGAAGCTTATAAGGTGGGAAAGCTATTTAACTCAAATTGTGGTGTGCTTGTATTATAGGTAAAAGTATATTATCAGGAGTTATATTTATGAGAATATTACTTTTTAAATATTGTGAAGGATTGCCTTTTATGGGATGCTTGAATCGGTGTTAAATTGTAAATTTATTCTAACACTTTAAGTTATAACTTTCAAACTTAAATGTGGGTTACCACAATTATCAAGAATTTTCAAGCACACACCTAGTCCTTTGTTAGGCCAGCCAACTTTACTTGTGATATAAGACTTTTCTTTCTCATCAAAATTTTTAGTATTGTGACTTTTTTTTAATTGTGTTAGAGCAAATTTAATGTTAAAACTTTTCAGCATATTTATAAATGGCGTAATGATATGACACATAAACCTCACAGTTGTGCCTAATGACATTACCCACAAACGAGGCACTGCCGCACTTGGATAGGAGAAATTTTTCCCCCTTAGTTAGGGATGATTGATTATAATACAAAGAGCAAGAATGATCACAAACCAATTCAATTTAATGTAAAAGGTCAAGGAAAATTTAAAATAAAAAATCGCCAAAACTAACATTTGTTATTGGATTGATCTTTAAATCTAATTTTAAAAATTTATTCCAATTTAAACCATAATTTATAACTAATGCTTATTTAATTATATATTTATAAATTTATAATTATTATTTTTAATAAGTTTACTCTCAAAGATACATTTAATTATTATTTTTTAAGGATACATCTTCTTATTTTAGTATGTTAATAAATTTATTAATTTTAATTTAATTTAAAGCTTTTTGTATCTCATTTATTACATAAATTTTATGTTTTATATAAAAAAATTAATTAAAAATTATATATATATATATATATATGAAATAGTAAAATAATATCTATTTATCATCTAAATAAATAAAATATATAAACATAAATATAAAAACTAAATCATTTAGTTCAGTACTATACAAAACACCTAAATAGGTCAAATTGGATTTATAATTGTATTGATACCAATCCAAAATAAATCACAATAATTTTATGATCAGATTAGATAATTTTTTGCTTAAAAATTAATCAAAACCAAACTAAAAACACCTCTAACAAAGATCAAGGATACTTTTATACCCTTAGTTGTTACTCCTTTTGTTCTTTTTTATTTGTTACATTTCTAAGATTTTCTTTTTTATTTATGTCACTTCTTTAAAAATTCAAGACAGCATTAATTATATTTTATCAAATATACTCTAAACTTAAAATCAAGAATAATTAATTAATAAAAAGGATAAAAGAGGAAAATTAATTTTAATAAAAGAAAAAACATTAAATTTATTTCTTTATTTGCATCAATCCTTTTAAAGTTACAAATAAAAAGAAACTGGAGTACATTTTTACATCCTCTAAAATTATGAAATCTGTAAAATGTAAAAGTATAAACTATTCTAACCTCGTGGCAATTAATTTGCATTTACCAATATTCCAAACCATTATCATATAAAATGATACAATGAAATTAATATCAAGAAGACGACGGTCCATTACCAGACAGCATTAAGTACAACACAACTTTACAGGTGCCAAGATACCCTGTGTTTGCCATGATGTTTAAAATAAATTGGTTAAGCATGTAGAGCAAGAAATGGTCAAAGCAAGCTGGAAACTCCCGCTGACCTTCCTCCTAAATTATGCACCTCTTAAAGCTGGACATAAATTAACAGTCTACCTTCTTTAGATGAGCTTGGTTTTGGAGCGGATGCATAACAATTACCAAGTTGACCAGTGCACAACGAAAATTCAAAGGCCGAGTGTTGCTTCCATTAGAAATGTACACAGTATGAAAGAAGCTACTGTACACCAACCTTAATATTTTTGCGGTCCAAAACAACATTCAAGATCTTGCCCGGAACATAAATTCTTTTTTTGACAGATTGACCCTGCAAAAACTTGGATAGCTTTTCATCCCTAGATGCTAATACAAAAGCATCCTCCTCTGTACAAGTTTCTTCAACCTGAATGGTACCTCTTGTCTTGCCATTAATCTGAACTGGAAGGACTATCCTGGAATCCTTCAGGTAAGCAGGATTTGCCTGCAATTACAACATATCACAAGCATAATACAGTTTAGTGTATAATACCTGTAAAACATCTACTTGTGAGAATCCAAAGTTTTTGTTCCAGTTAAGTATTAAAGTCATGGATCTTCGTCTGACTACAGTCCAGGTATTTAAATAGTAGTCGGTGTAAATGACTTAGATTTCACCATTTTAGTTCTATGAAACAAATCTAAAGTAAACTTGGGACTAAAGAGCATTAGTTTATCATGAAATGTTGAGAACATTATAAAGGAATGAAGTACTGGCTTTTCTACCATACAAATGTTAAAGTGGGAAAATATTTCCCACTTTTGTGTAATTTTTTAATTATTATTTTCCCACTTTTGTGTAATTTTTTAATTATTTACTGCACAAGTACAAGCTTGGAAGTTAGTAGGAGTAAATCTAGCTTGATGGCACTGCTTGTAGTAAGTCCGAGCACACAATCAACTCTAATAGCAAGTTATTCAATCAGATCAGGATCCTCTCATTGAAATCCATCCTTTCCTTTCATAATTAATAAATAGAAGAATCTATACCCCAACTATATTTTTGAAAATTTTTGGCAGATAAATGTTTTATATTTATTCCATTTCCTTAATTTTAACTAATATCAACTATAACTAAAAATTTAAAGCATTTTTTTTAATAAAATAAGCTTAATATTTTCCTAAAATTATAAGCTAGAAGTTTCAAAATGTTATATACAATGCCATTAAAGTTATTCCTTAGAGAAATGATTGATGCAAATCATATATTTCATTACTTTAAATATCATTAAAAAACCAAAAAGATAAAATAAAAATCACTTGTTATGAGTAGGGGCTGTGTTATGATTTGCTGAAAGTTGTGCCACTAAAACTAAGCCATAATTTGTTCTTTGTTAATGTAAACCTGTACCACTGAGGTAAATAATTTAAAAGTTATACTCTTGTAAGGTATAAAAGCCCAAAATTTATACTTCAAGTAATCATCGAAAGTAAACTACAGAACATTACAAGAGTGTGAAATGTCTGCTTCAGGTTATTGGAGATAGTATGTTATCAACAAAAGAAATTGAAAATTAGTGAACACAGAACTTGATAAGCCATGAGACTACGAATGATTTGATATTGACCCAAATTCCTACCTTAGGAAAAGGCTCGTATGCTAATGATTTTGTGTGCCCCAGCCGAGACCATAGCTCCTCAGCCATGTGTGGTGCGTATGGTGAAAGCAGCAAAACAAATGCCTCAATAACTGACCTTGGATGTTTATCCCACTGAAAATACATGCAAGAAAATTATAGAGATCAAACTGATTGTCTGTAACAGGAAGTGGGGAATTCACTGCTTATTAATAAGAAACGGAAAATGAGAAACAGAGGGACAAAGCAAAAGGAACATTTTGGCATTTTCTTTACTAAGAACAACATACACTTCATAAAGGCATGTCGTGTACAATAAAAACGGCACTGATATGCAGAAGCTTGTCTTCATTTTGCTTATTACTCCAGGCAGCCAAACATATCAATAAGATCCAAAGTTTTTACTTCATCATAATCTACAAAATGACTTAGCCCCCAGACTAGACCTTCTAGGCACTAGCTTCCCTGTTTCAGGAACCTATGTAAAAGCCAAAATTAAGACCCTAATGGATACTACTGCCTGGGAACACTTGTTTTTTTTTATAAACAGACCTAGAAAAACTAAGCACAAAAAAATACCTTATATGCAGCATTAAGGAACTCCATCATTGCAGAAATTCCAGTGTTGAACCGCGTGCCCTCAATTTCCTCTGTTACCTGAATACTGAAATTAAATTCTTAGCTCAATTTTCTCAAATCTCCAAATTAAATAAAACCACAAAAAGGTAAAACTTCAAAAAACTCTTATTAAAATTTGAAATATTGACCTTAGCAATGCATTTATGAAGACAACGAAGTTGTTCTATAGTAGGCTCCTCATCCACTGATACAGTTCTATCCTTAAATGTGCCATCTGACAAAGGTGAACCAACAATCAGCCTCCAAGTTCTTCCTAAAAACCGATGTACACCTTCAATGCCACTAGTACTCCATGATTTTGAGTCTCTGGACGCATTTTAGAAGGAAATCAAGGAATGAAGTGAGCTGAGGTTGAAGTCCACATTAGAACAAGATTCACAACATCACAGTCCCACCTCTCCCCACCCCACCCAAAGAAATGAAAAGATAAAAAGGAAAAAAACAAAAACAGAAAGTAGTTTGATTGAGGACCAATCGCTGCAATACAACATATAATATAAGTTTTGTGGCTCAAAACTACCTCAATGGTCCCATGAACATTTCATATAATCGAAGAGAATCCGCACCATACTCAGAAACAACATCATCTGGATTAACAACATTGCCCCTACTTTTACTCATTTTGTGAGCACGGGCAAATAAACGTATGTCAGGATTTTCTTTCAGGACAAAAGAATCCCCAGATTTCATGACCTACACTCATGGAAAAAGAAAATGAATTTGTATCGAGAGAAAAGAAAACATAGGTCCAATACCTTATCTCTAATAATTAACTAATGCATTAAGTGGAAAAATAATTGAGAAACCTTTTCCTGGGGAATTTTTTCAAGGTTATGTTCATTCAACATTTCAGTGGAATTAGCAGAAATCAGATTTCCATCTTGATCCCTACAAGCCATATATTGAACCTGCCACTCAAGCAATTAGAAACTTGTGACGATCAGTTTGTTTCCCCCCTCAATTTTTCAAGCAGAAAGAAATGAATTACCTCTCCAAGAATAATCCCCTGGTTTATCACACATTGGAAGGGCTCTTTGGTGGACACAACACCAATGTCGAAGAGGACCTGAAATAGAAAACTAAAATTAAATCTGCACAAATAATGCAGCAACACTGACAATATGTTAAAGGTTAAAGGATATCCAAAGCCTTATTGAACTCATTTCAATCCCGAATTGATTGATTCCTTAATCCTTCTGCCAACATTCAACCAGGTCATCAATTATTTATTTACCTTCTAGAAGGATTATTTGATTTCCTTTTACAAGTATTAATTACAACAAGGAGTTCCTTCTTTCCATACACAGGACAGGCAAGTATTAAAAAATGGTCAAATGATGGTCCTCTTTTATTTTACAAGCACCAGTAATTTGCCATTCTACAACAATTTTGAAAAGCAAATTACAGTTTTAAAAATCAAATTAACAAAGCCAGCATTTTGTGCTACATTGGCAGCATTTTGTGCTACATTGGCATATCAAACACTAAAACAAAGGGACTAATATATGTTGCATCAAGAATGCTAACTTTATGATAACCATAAGCACACAAGTGCCTTTGCATTTCAAGCCTCATCAAACAACATTTGTACTATTAATAATAGATATGATTGAATAAGACAGACAAGAACATAGCTATTCCGCTTGAAGTTTTATTCAAATGGGTTAGAGGAGTGAAACAAATCACAAATCAACATGTCCTAGCGAATGATGACATAAAATACAGACCTTGTGCCAGAATCTAGCATAGAGTAAATGGAGAACTGCATGCTCCGCACCGCCAACATACACATCAACAGGGCCCCAATACCTGCAGGAGAAGAACAATTTTAAAGCCAGAACATTAAATCATTTAGAAATAGTAAACGCAAAATAAAAACAAGCAGAAAATGGATAATAAATGCAAAACAAAGACAAAATTAATTGAACCTACACCTTTCTTTTGTCTTATCAACCAATTCTTTGGAATTATGTGGGTCCATAAATCTCAAATAGTACCTGTGCAGGGTAAAGAAAATGTGACATATTATGCTTTACAAACATAATTTTCATTAATGCATAGAAGTCCTGAACAGAGACTACTAAGTTTGGCCACCAAAGCACTGCTTGGTGCTTACTTATAAATCTAATACCATTTAAGATCCTCCCCAATGCCTTACCACTTACCAGCATGAACCAGCCCACTGGGGCATGGTATTTGTTTCCCGAGTAGCTGGTCTTCCAGATAAGTTATCTGTGGTCTTCACCTAAAACAGGGAGACCACCCAAGAAATAAATAATAATAATAATAATAATAATAATAATAAAATGGGAGCAAATGACAAGCTAAGATAGCAAAAACAGAACACTCAGAATTATCTAAGTAGAGAAATGTTAATAACACATTCTTTACCATCGGTTCAAATTTATTAGAAATCACAAAATTATGCAGATCTCACTCCATATTTAATGAGTTTCATTAATGATTCTTTGATTCTAATAAATTTCAACCAATGACAAATACTGTGTTAGAGAGTGTTGCAAGTGCTCCTCAATCCAAGTAAAATAACTTGGCCCTATTACTACAGGCCTTTCTGTTTCTTTTAAATTTAGCACAACTTCATTTTTTGATATATAGGCTTGTGCATTAAGAAAATATGAAAAGACATAAGCAGAATATTCCTACACAAAAAAAATATATATATTCTTCAAATAAGAAGACAAGTATATTTACAAAGTGACTCATGGAGACATTGAAAATTACTATTGGTGGGACCATAAGTTTCTTTTTCTATGACAAAAGATTTTAGGGAAAGTACAGAAACATCAAAGCTTTTTAAAACTAACAAAATTGATTTCTCCTTATAATGGCATTTCCATCAAAACAATTGTACTCAGATAAGGCAATGATTCAATCTTACCGACCATTGTCTTGAATCTCTTGATACGCAAGGAAAAAATGAATTTATAAATCACTATGTCAGACTGTTATCTGATGGTCTCAAGATCAGTAACTACATTTTTATCCGTGGAAAATTTGAAGTTCAAGATTTTTTATAAACCATGATATCTTGATAACAAGGTAAGAAGATGAAGGAAAAGCATTTATTGGTATAAACATACCCAAGAAACTGCCTTAGACAGAGGAGGCTCCCCTGTTCCAGTGGGAGAAAAATCATCCAAGTCAGGTAGAATAAGGGGCAGTTCAGTCTCATGCAGTGGGACAGTCTCACCACTGTCATCCAACAAGATGACAGGGATAGGTTCACCCCAGTAACGTTGCCGAGCAAAAAGCCAGTCCCTTAGCTTGTAGTTCACCTAAAGGATGAACAATGTAGTTTATATTATACAAACCATAAGGAACAAAATTCCAATAAATTTAACAAGCTTATTTTGAGATATGAACCTTTCTCTTTCCATTCCCACTTTTCTCTGCCCACTCAATGACTTTTAGAGCAGCTTCTTTGCTAGACAAGCCATTAATGTCAAGCCCCACCAGTGTATTTGATGAATTTAAAATAATGCCTTCACCTGGAAAAGCCTTTCCAGACCCAATACTTTTATCGTCTGGCATCACAACCCAGTGAACTGGAACATCATATTTCAAAGCAAATTCATAATCACGAGAATCATGTGCAGGCACGGCCATGATTGCTCCTGTTCCATGACTGCACCAATAACAACAATTATATTCTGGTGTTATATAAACTTTTTAAATATCATTCTAGACCCCATAGATTCTTATGCCCATAGCATATAAATAAATGCAATTGGCTTTCTAAGTGATACTTATGTTAACCCACCTCCCCAAAACATAATCTGCTACCCATATTGGAATGGATTCCCCATTTGCAGGATTTTTTGCATAACAGCCAGTGAAGACCCCAGTCTTTTCCTTCTGAAGTTCAGTTCTCTCAAGGTCACTCTTCCTTGAGGCAAGGTCTACATAATCCTCCACCTGGGATTAAAACCCATAAGAATAACCATCTCCCTATCACCGTTGATTAAAATCATTCCAATAAATTAGGCAATGAAACATAATAACTTACATGTTTGCTCTGGGCTGTGGAAACCAATGATGGCAGCAAGTAATGCTCCGGTGCCACAACTAAGTAGCTGAACACAAACAAAGCAAAAAGTAAAACGATAAAGATATCTTTCGAGAGTGGTTGGTCTAATTCATTAAATTTAAAAAATATATTAGGAATTGAATAGATAAATACGTTGCACCAAAGATTGTATCGGGCCTTGTAGTATACACAACAATTTTTATGTCTCTCTCCTTCCCATCATTATCGAGAATGCAAAATTCCATCTCAGCCCCTTCTGACCTCCCTATCCAATTTCTCTGCATTTCTTTTACACTTTCAGGCCAGTCAAGGTCATTTAAATCCTCAAGAAGACGGTCAGCATATGCAGTAATCTTGAGCATCCATTGCCTCATTGGCTGCTTGGTAATAAACAATGACACTGTAAAGATTATAAAACCATTCAAAAAATATAAGAGGAAAACCACCTTTTTAAACTGTAAAAGAAATAAATATACAAACCAGTATACCTTCCTTATTACAAGATGACCACCCCGTTCACTGACACCATCAATCACCTCCTCATTAGCCAACACAGTGCCAAGGGCAGGGCACCAATTAACTGGAACTTCAGCCTGAAATTTTTATATGAATACCTATGATCTTCAATACTCAGGATTTCAATGAAATAAACAAAAATTTCTAAGCAGTTATCATATACTGAACCTGATATGCTAATCCTCTTTTTAGAAGTTGTAGAAAGATCCATTGAGTCCATTTGTAATATTCAGGTTCTATGGTAGAGATTTCACGATCCCAGTCATATGAGAATCCTAATGATTTTAACTGCAAAGACATAACAAGCAATTTTAAGGATAGAGATGAAGTTGACTATGAAAATGAAATCACAAATTACTGGTCTTTCACATTTGGCCTTGAAAACTATTAATAATGCACCCAAGCAAACCATTTCTCTTTTCTGGTAAATGTCATATCCAAGTTATGGCCAATATTTCTTCTTAAATCAAGTAAAGGCCCGGGATTTAAATTGACAAAGAATGAGCTATATATTATGTAATGAAGGTCAATTTAGTTATGTGATTAAATTGAAACACTCCTGATTATGATTCCAGACATAGGTGTAGAGGTTGTTTGGAAACTTAGCAAGAAAACCCCACAAATTCCAATATTCAGCTTCTTTAATATAACTATTCATATAATTTTTCTCACTTCCTACTTAACATAGTCAATATAAAGCACGAATATCTTCAAATAGATTACAATCAGTTGCACGAGTTCAAAACAACATTACTGGCTCAAAATCAACAGCAAAATTTAATTCTAAAATATCTCTATTCATTTAAGAACCTAACAAGAGCATTACTGGCATTCGTTAGAGTAAAAGTATCTCATCATCAGTTTACCTGAGTGCGAAAGCGATTGATATTCCTCACCGTAGTTACCTTCGGGTGAGTTCCTGTCTGAAACACAAGACAGTATATTAACCCCCAAACAGAAAAATGGACATCATAACAGAAACTCCAAAAGATTAAAAGCATACAGAAGTCAAGGGTTAGAAGCGAGAACCAAAAAACAAACCTCAATAGCGTATTGTTCTGCTGGCAATCCAAAAGCATCCCACCCCATTGGATGCAACACATTATATCCCTGCATGCGTTTAAATCTAGCAAGAATGTCTGTGGCAGTATATCCAAGTGGATGACCAACATGAAGCCCAGCTCCACTGCAAAATATTAGCGCGACGAATCAAAAACCAATTACTTATCGCAACTCACAAGAACCACAAGTAGCCAGAATTCAGAACCTTGGGTAAGGGAACATGTCAAGAACGTAGAATTTAGGTTTCGACGTGTCGATATCATCGTCTGGGGTTCGGAAAGTGCGATTGTGTTCCCAAAAACGCTGCCACTTTGGCTCGATTTCATGGAAAGGGTACGCCCTATTAACCGGTTGATATTTAAGCTCAGTTTCGTTCACTCCGCCATTATCCGCTGTGTTTTTTATGCTCCGGCTACAATTGCGGAACCTGAGAGCAGAAGAACCTTTTGCAATGGTAATTGGGGGGAATCTTGAAGAGCGAAAGTTCTTGGGTTTAGAAGGGAAGGGAAATGGTGATGCAATGGAGTGTGGAGAAAGGAAGAGGACATGGTGATGAAGTTGAAGATGAGTGTGTAGCATTTGGATGAAGACACGGTGAAGAGAAAAAACAGACAAGTGGAGTGAAGAGAAACGGGATAACGTCGAGGACGAAGATGGCGCTCAAAACTCAATAACCACACTTTTTCTTCTGCTTTTCCCCCATTGGGCCCATCACGTACACAGAATTAGATTGGGCTTTCTTCGTTAAGCCCGTTATTCTGTTCTTAGCCTTTGCAATTCAATTCTAAATTAACTTGGCATGATGGATAATTGGATTAGTATGTAACGGTAAAAAATTATTAATAAAAGCTATTATTTAGTGAATTACAATTTTTTAGCAGTGCTATATGATAGAAATTAAATATAAAAACTAAAACATAAATTTTAAATATAAAAAATTATAAATAAGCTTAATTATATTTTTATTCTTATAAATATTAAATATTTTAGAATAAATTTTTATTAAGATTTAATCCTTCAAATGTTAATAAGTTTGTTTCCATTTTTTTAAAAAAAAATCTCTTAATAAAAGTACTTATATTTTTTATTTTTAAAAAGAGAAAACTTTTTAAAAATACAAATAAACATACCCTAACTCTCTGTTACTAAGCTGAACTGTACAGAAAAATGTCTGAGAGTGAAGAGGGATGAGAAACTGGAAAAGAATCGTTGGGGAAATTCATGATCATAATACAAATTCATTTTGATTGAGTTTTAGTCTGATTTACTTGTATTAGTTATAATAACTAGTGCATTAATTTGTTATACAATTTGAAACAGAACAAAAGACAGTTATCGACATCACCATGCTGAAAGAAATATATAAAGTTATAAATATTGAAAAAAGAAAAATATATCAACAACATTAACAAAAGAATAAAGTTTATTATATTTTTCCTCCAGTGTTTTTAAAACAAACAAATTAAATTTTTAATAAAATATAAACACAATCTTTAAAAAAAAAATTAATACAAACATATACGTGATTTTTGTAAATAATAAAATAAAGTTATAAAAAATGAAATTTTTTAACAATATCAGGAAATTAGTGAACATACATTAAACTAAAGGTACCTTCAAATAAAATAGACTATGCCAAAATAGACTTTTAAGTTCTTTTAAATTTTGTTAAGATTATACTGAAAACATTTTGGTATATTTTTTTTTTACAGTTAATTTTTTTTCTTAAATTTCATTTTCTTAACTATTTTTTACACTGCATTTTCTTATATTTTTAAAGATCATTAAAAATGTAGAGTATGGAAATTAGACATGCAGTCAGATTCGCATAGAAACAATGGATTACGATAATAATTAAATTTGTTGTGAAAACTTGAAAACGATAGTAACTTGTTTCCAGCACATATAACATCAACTTGAACCATTGAAATTCATCTTAAATTCTGAAATGATGTCACTGCAAACTTCATCTTAAATTAATTGCATAAAAGAAAGAGGGATATGAAGGATCCGAAGAACAACAATATTATTTTTGTTCTTGGGAAAAATGCTTTATTCTTATTGTTTTTTACAAGGGGAAAAAGTTTGAAAAGCACCCATTGAGGAAACTGGAATATATATGAATACAAAATGCATCTAGTTTCCTTCCCCAATAAAAATACTTGAATGGCCAGATATGGAGAAAAGAAAAGAAAATTTGAGGCCCAAATGATGTTTACAAGTTCCCTTTGCAATATTGTACCTTCCCAATGATTATAAACAAAATTGTAACCAACAGGATAGGCACCAATTAGAGAGAAATTAGTTACAAGTTGAAGGTGGTGGTTTTGGTGGCATATAATAAGAATTGCCATAATCAATTGGAGTTTGCATAAGAGGATTCCATCGGTCAAATACTATACGGCCACCTCTGCCCATTCTTCCACGAAATTGATTATATGTTGGTGCTGCCACCCCATTTTTTGTGATAGAATCTGATGGCATAATGCCAGCCATACCCAACTTATCTGGAATTAGAGGCTTTGTGAACAATAAAACTGGCTCATGTGGATCCTGCATAATCCCATGCCACACTCATCAACAACCATACTCAACCATTAATTTATGATTATATGCTCAAGATTAGCTCTTGCACTCTCTCTCATGTACTACATATGGGAAGGAATCCATATTATTGACTCGAGGAATATATTGAACAAAAAATAAAGATTATTAGAAATTTTTTGAATGGGCAAGATTCAAGATAAATGCATATGACTGTTTTAAGTGGTTATGTGACTACTAAAGCACTAACTAACTTCTTATCTTAACCATCAATGTATGGGTGTGTAATCTAGATTTTAGTTCTAACGTTTTAAAAAAGTGAACTTTTCTGGTCATATATGTTCCCTATATATATATATATAGACAAATATAATTACCAGTCTATGAAGCCATCCATGTGGGGCATATCTCCTTCTAAACTCTTGCTTTGTGCCAGCTGTAGGAACCATGGGCAGGTTGTTGTCATAGGAAGGCAAACTCTGTGGCACAGCAGGCCGTGCACGAGGAGGACGGTTTGGAATGACATCATCTGAATCGAAAAATTCTTCTTCACTTGAGACAAACTTAGAAGAGAATGGAGTAAATCCAGAGAGTGCCAAATTGTCTTCCAAAAATTCAGTTTCATGCTGAAAATGAGAAATATACATGAGTTCACATCACAGGTTCAAACAACCATTTCATAATGTATTCTATGGCCCAGTCAAAAAAGACAAAATGAAGTCCACAGTTCACAACCACAATAAGTTCCTATGAAAGATAAAGTTGATCCAACAAGGTGCATCAAATAGCATACTTTAATACATATTCTTATTTTTCATTTGTCACCCATCTTGCCAAACCCCGAAGAACAAGAGCATAGAGATTGCTAATTTACACCTGACATCTCTGATTAGCAGACCCCAAAATAAGGGCAAAAGCAACAAAAAATAGTTTTTCATTGACTTCAATATGTTCAATAGGTCTCAAATATAAAATAGGTTTTGCATTCTAACCCATAACCAATGACCAGTCAAGATTCCAACCAAAAACAGTAATTAACAGTCAGTTCTTAATTATCAACAGATTAAACATGATAAATATACAAAAGGATGCACGTACCTTGTACTTCATTTGCATCCTCTGCAGCATAACTTCACTCTCCATTACTTCTCTTTTTTTCTCTTCCCTCTGGTTATTATTGTATAACAACACAATAAGTGTGAATACAAAAGGATATGAATAGGGTAAGACACTCAAGACTTATCTTGAAAGTCACACCTTGATCAAAGCCTCCAACAAGCTCTTAGCTTGGTCAAGGTTGCGCCTGACCTGTTTATGGCAAAAGCTTTAAATAAATTTTCATGAAATATATATTAACATTCCAATTTGAAAAGAGAGAAATCTTTTAAGCCATATATGTCTTCAAATTGACAATTAATATGAACACTTCCTAGAACAACTAACACTACTAAAGAGCATGGAAATGAATTCAAATCAAATCATTTTTTTTATTAAAACTGAAAATTATATCAAGATTAGTAGTACCATCTATTGCATAAGCAACAGATTAAGAAGCCATGAGCTGAACACCAGGAGAAGCATCACGTTCTTAACTATTTTCAAACTGTTGCTTCCAAATTGTTTCTTTTGAAGTGGATTTGTGATTACCTTCAACATCAAATTATTCAATGTCATTGATCTAGCTCCAAGATGTCTTATAAGGCATATTGCTTTTATTTAAAGCATGCCAACAAAAGAAACTTTATGATATATTACACTCCATTAAGATGAGTACTTTGGTTTAACAAATGCTCTGTTTTCTTTCAAACAATTTCTCACACACAAGCCATGCACTAAATTATGGAACACATTTACGATATTTACATCATTTTTTCAGTTTGTTGTACTAAAATGACAACAATCCTTCTTTCAATACCAAAACAGATGGTTTTCAAATTGATATTTATATAATTTTTAATAAAAAAAAAGTTGTGCCCTTACAATTAATAACAGAAAATACTGTAAGATTAAAAATCAAAACAAGGTAACAATGTTTTTACTAAATTTTCAAGTGAGGAAATACTAATTGCACTCAACAAATGCACACCACATTTATTGCATATCAAAAACACAGATTTCAGTATATGCATCAGAAGAAACTTGATAGAACCACATGGAATATGGGTACTTAAAGAAACTCAATATTTTCTGAAACAACAAATAAGGGAATAGACCTCTCCTAATTCTTTAAGCACTTTTACATACACTTTCATAGAAATAATAATTCATAGTGCAAAGGTAAACAGCAAGTTCATAAACCCATTATCTCATGCTGAACAGCAGACCCTCAAAAGAAAGAAGCATCAAGCTCAATTTTACTAACTTCAACAGATGCCTAAGAATCAGAATCAATTAGAGGAGCTGACCTGGCGAAGCTTTTCAAAAGATTGCACATTGTTTTCTCTCCTTTGCATCTGAAGAGAAAAATAAGGGCTTAGTAAACAAAAAATTATGGGAAATTTATAATAAATCCATGCCATTAAGGAAAAAGCATTTACCCAAAACTGAGGTACAATGAAAACATGAGCCAAGTTTTCCACCTACCCTTCTTGTGTGAAGTCTGTGGGCCTTCTCCCTTGGCCGAAACACATTATATGGGTTGGTATCATTAACAGGTGGAGGCGGCTGTAAGCAAAATCCAGTTCATCTTGTGAAAACTCTTTATAATGAGCTTGTCAGGCAAACATGTATGAATACACCCCCCCCCCCCTCTTTATCCAAAAAACAGACAAAAATGGAGTAACTATAGTTAGCAGCAAACTGCAAATTATGGAGGAAGAATTCAGAAAAAATAATGGATCCAGAATGAAGTAAACTAGATTATGAGACGGTGAATTAAGCCAAAAGCAGTGGTAGTAAAAAGAACTTGGAAAGTTGTGATTCAACAAAATCACTAAGTGTACATTTGTTATAGATTATCTTTGAGGAAATAATTGTTCTTTATTTTTTTACAAAAGCTTTCAGAAAGCTGGCAAAAGAAGCAATTATTTATCCTGAATAAGTTTAACCAAACAAACTCTAAAATGCAAAAATAATGCCTAAATAATCAATAAAGAAAAAGGGCTAACGAATGTAACAAATGATATATCTATAAACAAATCAGTCAACAGCTTGTTGATAAATTAAACTATGGAATTGATAAATATCAAATTATGTATATCTAACAGAATAAATATAGAGTGATATATCAGTGGAAATAATATATTGATTGTAATGTTCTGAAAGCTAACCTGCAAACGTCGCAAAATGGGCTTTTGCCACCGTTCTCGCTGCCCCCCAAAAACATGCAAACAAGGGAGTAAAAAGGAATTGATACATTTGCTAAATATTGACGACTAAAAGCAAATAGAAAATTGCAATCAATTATAATTTAAATAATATGAATATGTGGTGGCATAATGTAAACTCATAGCATGACCTAGGTAACTTGGATCTATCATATAAAGTGACAAAGAAATAGGAGATGTAAACCATATGGTTCAAGTTGGGTAGATGAAATGGAGAAATATTTCAAGTGCTATTTGTTATTGAAAGGCATGATTCAAACTCATGGAAAATTTACCAAAAAGCCACAATACTCAAATCACTCAATGCCTTATGGTACAAAATGTTGGTCAGTAAAGAGAGAACGAGCATATGCTTGGGGTTATAGAAATAAAAAAATTCTGTGATGGATGAGTGGAAACAAATGACAAGATAGGGAATAATTACATTAGAAGAAAATACAAAGAGCATCTATACGGCAAAAGATCATATAACCTTGCTTGAGATGGTTTGGCCATGTGAGAAGAAAACCAATAAAAGCACCAGTTAAAGGAGTTGATTATATGGATAATAGCTCAACAATTAAAGGCAGAGCAAGAACAAGAAAAACTCAGTAAAATCATCAAAAAGGACTTTAGATATCAAAATACCCTTCCTGAGGACTTTGTTTATGACAAAACAGCAACACAATGACACTTATATACCCATGTAGCCAACCCCACCTAGTAGGATAAAAAACCTTCAGTTGTTGATGGTGGTGTTGAATACAGATAAGGATATGCACAAAATTGGCAGAGAAAACACCAGCAATGATCAGTGACAGATAATTTAAATTCATCATAGTCTCCTCCAACTCCTTAATGAAACTTTATTGTAACCCTCTTCTATATTATGCTAGTCAAGTGTGAGGCATATTCAAGCAGTCTCAATACATTCCCTCAACCACTGGTAACCATATTCAGCATTGTGAATGTTAATATATACCAAGACCTGGTGCAATTTCCAGATCTCATAATGAAAGCAATTATTGAAAGTCATTCAGAAGGTTACATTGATAAACAAAGGAGACATGCCCATCATAAGTGATAATATGATGCCAATTGCATACCTTCTCTTTCCAATAATCGTATACAGACTGGAAAACTGAATATCTGATGGGCTGTGCTTGTAAAGCCTAACATTTAAGAGAGATAACTTTCGATTAGCCCAATGAGAATCATATACACAACATATGCAAAAGAATTTCTATGAGGTTTAATGATAAGTCCACCAAATGATCTGTATGCACATTTGCAAAAGAATTTCTAAAAGAATTCAATTAACTTCGTTCATGCCATTATATTGAGAGTCCACACAACTTGCAGGTCATCTTCGTAGAATACCACTGCTAGGACTGTTAATATAAAATTACATCCTTCCAAGCTCATACATCAATGACTAATCATTCAAGAATAAAGGAAGAGTGCCTATTCTTAGAAAACAAAGTACAGAATAAATAAGCAACCTAACAACTAGACCAACCAACATAAAGGAAAAAAATGATTCAAGATGAATTAGGAATACACAAACACACTATAAAAAAGTTTGACCTCAATAGCAGTATCAAGCCGAAGTTGCACAGGAATTGGTGAACCAAGAGTTGGTGTTATAAGTCCAGCTCTTTCGCGAGCTTTATGATCCAATGCCTCCAACTTGAAAAGAATATTCTCAAACCTATCCACCAAATAAATTAAATAAAACTGGAAGAAAAAGCCAACAGCATATATGAAGCAGATCTTACATTAATGGAATTAAAAACTCACTCAAACTAAGCAAAAATTTTTGTTGTGTTACAACCCAAGGCTTATATTATGACTTATGCAAGAGAGGAGAACCCAACCCAAAACACTAGTTCACCAGGTGAGAGAGCCTCATGGCTATTGAGCTTCCAATTTACTCAATTTGGGTCTTATAACATTATTACCCCTTGTCAAGAGCCAACATCCATGGCAACTTCACTCTATTGACAATGTCACACTAATACAATGTTAGCCCTTGTCCCTTACATTGGAAACTTCATTCACCAATTAGTATTAGGTGTAGTGTACCTTAATCCAGCCCATAGATAGTATTTTATGTAACCCAATTCTCAATAAAAGTACCAATTGTTATGACTAAAGCACATAAGGAGAATCCAACCCAAAAGACTAGTCCATTAGATGGGACTAGGAGAGTCTTTTGGCTTAAGTACCGCATTGAGCCATTTTTTTTTTTAACTCAATGTGGGACTTGTAACAGTATTCAAGTCAAATGTGAAATGTCAGGCCAAATCCAAAATTACATATAAGCCACTTCTAAACACTAACAAAATCATTCCATTGAATATCTAACCCCTAAACAACCATTTTATATAAGTAGGATCCACATTGTGCTGCTTTTCTTTAATGTAATGCTATTTTGATATAAAATTCAAAATCAACTTATCAATACAATAAAATAGCTAATTCACTGCAATAGATTATTAATTCAACAAAACCATGATCAATAGGGTACATTGATTTCAAGCAGTGCAAAATACATAGTGCATGAGATTAAGAAAAAAGGAAAAAGGAAAGAAAACAACAGATACATATAAAGATGAAAACCATTAAACTAAACCAATCTCTAGCAACCACACATAAATAAATTAAATGAAACAATAAGCCAGAATTCAGTTCAAAAAGTTACATTTCAGGTGTAAGAATCTTCCTTTCTTTATTAAACTCTGAAAGCCAATCCTCATCTTCATGGTCTAAGTCATACTCAACAAACTCTCCAATCTCAGCCCGAGCTGCAACAAATTAAAGAACTTTCAGGACCAGAACTGGAATTTACAAGAGAACCTTCCAAAATTATTTCTAATATAACTAAATGACCTATCAAGTGGCAGTACCTCCTCTTGCCCGCAAATATGAAGTTGGTTGAGCAAAAGTGCAAGAATAGTCCCTTTCATATGTATCCACAACAACAAACTGAGGAGTAGGTATTTCAGCAGCCATTTTCTTGCTGGGAGCTTGATGTACCTATGAATAATAGATAGAAATCCCTGATAAAAGCAACAATATTTCTATAACAAATACATTATCAACTGGTTCCTTTCCTAATATCATTTTTCGATAGTGGAGCAACATCCATCATCAATTTCTTAAAAAATTTAAATTTCAACTATCAAGGCTTCCAATCAGTAAAATAAACTAACATATTATCGATGCTATCTGAGGTAATCACAACTCGGTAAATTAAATAACAGATCATGCAGGTTAACATGGCGTACATCTTTCTTATTGGTAGTTTTTAGTACAAGGGAGAGTGCTTGAGATATAGTACAGGTGTACAACAGTCATTGCCTTGATGCTAATTACAATCCAGCATCAACTAGAACACTAATACAAATAATCCAAAAACACCAGATTTAAACAAGTCAACATAGTGACATACACCAAACAGTTAACAAACAGAATGACTGGAAAACATGATCCAATGTCAAAAAACTAGGAACACTAATCCATACCTCATTTTCAACCTCAGGAACAACACGTAGCAAATGCGAATTACGGGTAGAAGCGGGTGCGTCATCATCTTCAAAGTCCTTGATAGACTTGATAATGGGGAGCTTCTTGTGAATATCAAGTGGTCGAGGCCTGAAAGACAACCTACTCATTTCAACTCATCAATTCATTCCCCCAACATTTCCACTGTTTTGAGTCTTCTGATGCCACCCTGTTTTTTTCAATCCCTGCGTTTGAAACTACAAGTGACAAGGTCATCCCTGTGAAGGTAAAACCATTTCAACACACACACACACACACACACACACAATGCAAAAATTCAAATGCTGTATCATCTATCAACACAAACAATACACATTGGCACTGCATATTTAGAATAATTCCGAAACCCCAAATTGAAAAACTAAATTTTTAGGGTGAAAACAAGGATTTGCAAAGCAATCATTAACATGTACACTGAATCACACGCACTCACAAAGTTCCACGTTCAGAATTGCACGAATGCACACCAAAAATAGTGAGAGAAAACACGTATATTTGATTCATATAAGTTTGATTGTTGGAAAAACCTAGCAAGGCAGTGATGTGTAGTTTCTCCGATTTGAGGAATTTGAGATGGTTGTGAATCAGTGTGTTTAAGACGAAGAAAAACCCTAACCCTAATCCTAATCCTAATCCCAACTTGATCAAATATTTTGTTCCTGATTCTGTTTTCCAGTTTTTGTTCATATATGCCATGCCCTCTTTCTTCCCCGCGTTTCTGACACCTCCATTGCAATTTGCACCCTTCCTTTTTTTCCCTCACTTTCCCTGTGATCTCTGTTTTGTCTTTTTCTTCTCTTTTAAGTCATATATAGGAATTGTTTTATAAATTACATTTTTTATTTTTTCAATCTACTTGAATTCTGAATCTCTGATTCTAATATTAAAATTAAAAAGTTTTGTTTCTTATTCTTTTAAATTTAAGTTTATATAACCTAAAGATTTTGAAAAGATAAATGTGAATCAATTATATAATAATTATAGAGTTTTATACTCTTTATAAAAATTATTACATATTTAAATATGTGTAAAATTTAAAATTAATATTAAATTATTATATATATTATATAAATTTTTATTTTAAATTTTCTGGGTCATAATATGCTTAACATAAAACTTTTAAATGTTAATAAATATCTTTTAATTTTAAAATCATAATAGTATTTATATATATATATATATACACATATCAATTTATATTATATATTTATTTTATTTTTCTATTTTATACTATGCTTAAATATAATTTTTATATATTATATTTATTAAATATATTTTTGTTTTAGTAACAAATTTTTATCAAAATTTATTTATATAAAAACTCATATAGTTGATAAATATATTAAAAATAGTAATTATAATTGAAATATATACTATATTACTTAAACATAGCATTTATTATTAAATTCAGCCAATATACATACATATATAATTCAACAATATTATATATATATAATGTAATTTTTATATAACTATAATTTTATATAAAATGTAATTTTTCACGATATAAATATTGTATTTATATATATCTTGGTTATTTATATCAATTTTTGTTAAAAATAATGATAAGAATGTAATTAAATAATTTATATTTTTATATACTTCAAAAATATATATCATGTTATTTTTTTATACATAACTAAAATATTAAATTGTTTATTTTTTAAAATAGACCAGTCAGTCCTCACTTACTTTTAGATGAGTTAAGGGTGGATCCAAACGGGTCAGTGTACTGATACTCCTATTCACTTGTAACATTTAATACTATCAATACATTTAAATAATATTGAATTCTATATTTTTTTTATAAAAATTTACTATTATAATTTTTTATCATTTACAATATTATATAGAATAAAAAGTCTTACTTTAAAATAGAGTTTGTAAACTTTAGTCTAAAAAATAAAAAATAAATAAATAATAATAAAATTTTATTTAAAAAATAATTATTAAATTTTTATAAATTTAATACAATAAATATGTATTTTTTTATTAAAAAATTATTTTATAAATATTTAAATTCAATTTTAAGAATTGAGGTTAACAAAACTCTTCTATTAATTATTTTATTTTTTAGTCTTCAAATTTGATTGATTAAATTTTTTGTATTTTATCTAGTTATTGAACAAAAGATTGGTGAGATGAAAGATAATCAGGTTGGAGTTGCAACATGACCCTGTGACTTAAGATAATATTGAATTAAATTATAAGTTAAAAAGTTTACTTTTTATATTTAATATAATTATATAAATTTTGATATAGTATTTCACTTTTTATATTTAATGTATGATTGATATTCTTTTTATATATTGAAACATTATTAATTACTTCATTCATTTATGTTTAAAATTAGTTACTGAACCTTTTTTTATCTTTTTCATAACAGTGGTCATTAAATGAGAGATTGATGTAATGATGTGATAAGTTTGAGTTGGTAACTCTGACAATATGAAATATCAATTATTTTTTATATTTTAAATTATTATTAATTATTTCACTTGTTAATGTTTAAAATTAGTTACTAATTTTGTTTTATTTTTTCATAAGAGTGGCTACGAAATGAGAGGTTGGCGATGATGTGATAAGTGGCTATGAAATGAGAGGTTGGCAACAAGTTTGAGTTATAACTTTTTGATTGTATGAAATACAACCTTTTGAAAGTGTACTTAAAGGGTATATTATAAAAATCTATGTATAGTAAGTTTTTAGTAATAATCACGTTATATTATTAAATACTACAAATTTTAATAAAAATATATTAGTTATTAATTTTTTACCATGTACCGTAAAGCAAAGCATACGTTTGAAAAATGTATGAAATATAATACTTAATATTTATTTTATTTTATTTATGATTATAAAGATTTATTCTTCATGTTTAATGTAATTATATATATATATATATATATAAGTGTGTGTAATTTTTCTAATGTATGTCTAGAAACACGTGTTACAAACAAAATTAAAATTATAAATTTTTAATTAAAAAGTTATTATTTTAAAATCATAAAAAAGAGTAAATGCATATTTTTTACGGTAATTTAAACAATTTAATAAGATATTTTTAATGTTTTTTAACATATACTCTTAGCACAACATTAGAAAAATTGTAATAGACTAGTATATAATACAATTAATACAACATTTGATCTTATTTATTATGATAATTTTTCTTTTTATATCCGTATTTATTGTAAAATTTGTCAATAAAATACTCACCTATTACTTAAATACATTCATTCATTTAATATATTATATCAATTTAATAATTTAATATTTTAGATATTTTTAGAATAAAGTATAAATTTATAATGTAGAACTCTTTTTTATTAGTCTTAACAAATTAAACACATCTTTTTACAAAAAGGACAAAAAAAAAAAGTTAATGTGACAAAGTCAAAATACTTACATTATAATTAGTCATAGTTTTAAAAATTATTTGACTTATTAAAAAAATGATAAAATAAATCACATAAATATAAATGACAGTATGTTAAATAAATGTATTTTGAGCATTCTTGACGTAGTATTATTCAAAGTACAAACCGTTCCATGGATGTCTAGGAAATTTCAAAGTTTCGGAGAAAGTGAAGAAAAGATTGGAGCATAAACCAAGACAAAGAAGTTGCTATATTCTCTAGAAAGTTGAAAACCAAGACAAACATGTTGATACCATGCACATAATAAACTCTTTAAAATCCAGCAAAGAAAACCAATGACCACAAACCCACCTTCCCATAACACAACTCAACTCAACCCTCTCTCTCACAACACACTCTCACCCTTGCATTTGCCATGAAAACAATGAACTCCAACAAGCTTCAAAGGTTGCATTGCACCGTGAAGAACTATGAATGGGGTCGACCGTGCCATGAGTCCCTCGTTGCAAGACTCTATGCATTGAATTGTGGGTCTCATATGGTTGATGAAGATGAGCCTTATGCTGAGTTTTGGATGGGAACACATGTGTCTGCACCCTCATTCCTTGTCTTGGATGGCTCAGAACAAAGAGTTACTCTTAAGTCTTGGCTTCTGGAGAATCCTAACTTGCTTGGACAAAAGGTCCTTCAGAAGTGGGGGGTTGATCTCCCTTTCTTGTTTAAGGTATGATACTATGATATCATCATATTGTGGTTTGATTCATCATTCTCTTACTCAAAAAGTTTTACCAATGTTTTACAATTTAATAGAAAGATATAATGAGAAGAGAGAGCACTCATATATAATAAGATGAATGATGTGATCAAATTAATTTCAGTCCTTAAAGACTTAATTTAAGTGTATATTTATAATATTATGATATCAACACTATTTGGTTTGAGTAATGATACTCTTATAAAAAATTATAATTTTTTTTATAAGTTAAGAGATAGATAGAAAGGAAAGGAGAGAAGTGAGAAAAAAAAAACATAGGTAATGTAAAGGAGATACAAAGAAACAAAATGAGTTGTTCAACTTCTATAAAAAATTATTATACGTGTATTATTACTCATTCAACTTTTGGTGCTTGCAGGAGTTAGAAATATAATATAAAAAATGTTTGTCTTTTGAAGTTTTATAACATTTAAGTTTTAGCGATGATATTCATGACATGGTATTGTAATTTCTATGACAAAGTGATTTAATGATTTAAAGTTGAAATTCTTATCACCTTTGTTTTTTTTAAAAGAATATTTGAAGTTAATTTTTTAAAGTTATATGGATCATTTTATTGGTTTGTTAAATATTTTAGTCACTCAATCAATCTCTCAAACATTTGAATTATCTATGTATCAGTGTTTTGCAGATTCTATCATTAAATTTGTGCTTCAGCCAATGAAAATATATTATCTCTAGTCCTTTGCTAGATTGGTATTTTATAATTTTCTCTCTTGAAGATTTATAACAAATTTTGTTAGTTTAATTATAGATAAATAATTCCTTATTGTTTAAAAATTTCCTTAAAATCCCAAGAGAAATAAACAATTATTTTGTTAAAAAATAGTTGGACTAAAAATGCACTTAATTAGTTTGCTACCAAATGATACTTAAAATTTGTTTTTTGAGATAGTTGGTACATGGTAGTTGATCTCTCAAGCAAATATACTCAAGACTCTAGATTGAGTTTTGTGATTTTTTTTAATTATTCAATTTATTTATTTATTTATTGTATTAAGGTGCTATCAGTGGACAAGGCCTTGTCTATACAAGCTCACCCTGATAAAAAGCTGGCCAAAGCCTTGCATAAACTGCACCCAAATGTTTATAAAGATGGCAATCACAAACCCGAGATGGCTCTTGCTGTCACACAATTTGAGGCTTTATGCGGCTTTGTCACTCTTAAGGTACTCTATGTTGTTGAATTTTTTGTTTATATTTCTTTTCACCATTGCTTGCACTGTTTTATTTTGGGAAAAAATAATTAAGAAAAGATTGGGTCTCAGAGTGCTTTTTTCTTTCATTATTGTTTGAAAATAAAATAATACAATGAAAAGAGTACACAAATGAAATTTATGTTTATTTTTCTGCAGTGTAAATGTGTGATGTAAAAATAACTCTTCTTTATTAAGGAATTTATACTTTTTATTAACTTGTATACAAGTCTTCAATTTTTTTCCAAAGAAACTTTGTGTTGTCTTTCTAATTTAAAGTCTTCATTGTGTTTGGTGTTCAAACTTTTTTCTATTAACTTTTAATTAGTTTGGTATTTAAGCAATTTAGGTGATTGGAAAAGAACTATCCACTTGTTGGGCACAATTCCATAATATTTTATGTGACTGAAACATTTTGTTTTGACTTACTTTCTGTTAATGGGTCCAACAAGTAAATGCAACCTTGATGGCTGACCAAACAATTAAGAAGTAAAGTAAGAACTTCAAATAAAAAGAAAGAATAATAACCATTTGTGTAATAAATAAACATACATAGTGTTTTTTTTTTAATGGCTAATTTTTTTAAAAGTATGATTATTGGAATTATTTATTAATTATAATAAGAATTTTATTTAATATAATCACATATTACTTAAACAAAGTTCTAATTTTTATTAATAAAGAATACCAATAACATATGAAAAAGTATACTTATATTTTGTTTTTTTTAACAGTTCTTAAAATCGAAGCTTGATGCCTTTTTATGATAAATGATGGATCTTAACTATTTCACGTGACCCTTTTCAGCATTCATCTTTAAGGGATGTTTGATTTAGAGTTTTTTTTTAAATTATAGAAATATTATTTTTTACTTATTTAAAAATAAAATAAAAATAAAGTGATGATTTATAATTGAAATAAAAATAAGAATAAAATGAAGATGTATAATAATTAAAGTAAAAAACAAAATAAAAGTCTGAAACCAATTAGTTTGGTGTTACAAGTATTCTCATCGTGTGTTGAGATAAAGATAAGCATTGAGGAAATTATGTTATATTATTGTAATACTTACTTTTTGTTAATTTTTTAAATTATTCTTTCTTATTATTAATTTTATTAAAGTTTGAATCAGAAAAAATTAGCTATACAAAATAATTTAAAATATCCTAGGCCAATTAGAAAAATGACTGAAATACTTCTTCAACTTAGATAATATTTTTTTGTTAAATTATTTTTAAGAATGAGTTAATCCCAAATTTCAAATATAGCCTTGGAGTTTGTTTAATTTTGTTGTTATAGATCTACATATGTTCAATTTTACAAATTTTACACACTAAATGTGCCAAGGCTTTCCCTCACTCATCTTTATACTCACAGAAAAAAGCTTTTCCGCGCTCTCTTCTCTCAATGCATTTGGATATTTGGCACTTTGCAAAGAGTGAAAATGAAGTATAAGAAAAGGACATGAGACAAATATATTTTTACTATGTTAAAATGTCTCACATTAATTAATAATGTGACCCGAATATTATTTATAAGGTTTGAATAATTCTGTTCTTATGAGCTAACTTTTGGAAGGAGGTGATACTTAATTTTTAATAAACTGTTATTAGCAAGTTAACAATTTGTAATGATTTTATTCAGGAGCTCAAGGTGGTGCTTACAATTCCTGAGGTTATGGAACTTGTTGGTGCTGAAAATGTTAACTTGATGTTACAAATCACTGATCAGGGTGGTGAAGAGAAGGTTAAACCTCTTTTGCAGACTCTATTCACTGATCTCATCTCAGCAAGTAAGGAGAGAGTAATTGGTGCAGTAAACAGATTGAGAAGTCGTCTGCAAAAGGAAAGTCAGGTTGGTTGATAACTTGTTGCTTTATGTTATGTTTGAAAAGTATAACAATGCACTCTTTTTGTGTTTTTTAATGTAATTTTTAGCATGATTCTGAATAACAAAATTATTTATTGATTTTTTAAAATAATACAACCAGTTAGCAGAATACTTTAATTTGTTTAAGTTTTGCTCCTTTTCTCGCCCTGAATTATTTGAATATTATATATATTATTTCTATATATATGAAACAAATGTTGTCCAAATATATATATGACATCTTTTTATGAGGGATCAGTCTTAAAAAATATGCGGGTATAGTCGTTTTTTATGTCTAAGATCCTCGACATATGGAAGCTACAATGTTACATTAGTTATAATCTAGTGAACTTATTTAAGGAGATAAACTCTCCAATGCCTATTTTATCCAATCATAAGATTGAAACCCAACTATTGCTAAAGGGAAATAAACTATACTCCTTTTTAATTGGACTAACAATGTGTAGTATTTTTTGTCTTATAATAATTCTGGTCAACAGCTATAAATACTACTTACTTTACATTATTTTCTTATCTCATTCTTCTGTTGCCTCTATTTTTTTCAAATTGTTTGCTACATATAGCATATTGTAGCAAGTTTAATATGAAACTGGGATCATATTTCAGAATTCAGATGCATTAATCTCTTCGAGTTGCTATGAAATAATAATTCATGTAGTGTCTTTTTATCTTATGTTAACATATAAGTGTTGACAATGTGATTAATAAATTCTATAATATCCTCATTCTGCATCATTAGTTAAGGGAGTTAACAGATAAGGAGCAATTGGTACTGCGGTTGGAAAAACAGTATCCATTTGATGTTGGTGTCATAGCAGCTTTCTTTCTTAACCATGTAAGACTCACTCCAGGTGAAGCCTTGTTCCTTTGTGCAAATGAACCACATGCATATATTTGTGGTGACTGCATTGAATGCATGGCAACTTCGGATAATGTTGTGAGAGCTGGCCTCACTCCTAAACAAAGAGATGTACAAACTCTTTGTTCAATGCTCACATACAAACAGGTAAATGATAAATCAAATGTCTGTTATTTTTTTTATTTTAATCTCTTTATTTTAAACATGATTTAGTCCATATTGTTATCAAATGATTACATGACTAATTCAAATATTATCACAAGTAAAATTTTGTTTAATACATTGCTTTTACATTAAGATATATCAACGAGAGAGACTAAAACTAACAATTTTATAAAATATAAGAAATAAAAAAAATTATAGGGAATAAATTAAAAATTTACTGTAAAATGCATGTTTCTGTGGTTAAATTTCTTTCTTTCTCCTTTTAACAATGGATAGAATAGAGTAGGGTACAAAATTTCAATATAGTTTTGCAAATAGAACAATACAGCTAGAAGTACTTGATTATAATAAATAAACTTTGTAAAGAGGTGAAAGACAAATGTTTTCACCAATTCTGCTATGATTGTTTTTGAAGGGGAAAATTGTGGCACGAAGGAAAATGTTTTATGAACATCAAAATAGGGCAACAAAAAGTTGTCCTTCTAATTTTGAGATATACTTTTAAAAAACATGTATACAAATAAAATAAAAAGAATAAGGGATAAAGATAATTGCATAGATATTAAATTTTTTTATGTTCTAATAATAATAGAACTAGTGGTGTGAATAACCAAGACTACATACTTGATATCATTTTTTTTATATGATTTCAAATTTCATATATTTGTTTACTCTTGCAGGGTTCTCCTGAGATTCTGCATGGAGTTCCTATAAATCCATATGTAAATAGATACATTCCACCATTTGAGGAATTTGAGATTGATTGGTGTGTTCTTCCTCAAGGGGCAAAAGCAGTGTTCCCAGCAGTTCCAGGTCCTTCCATCTATTTGGTCACACAAGGGGAAGGAATGATGAATACAGAATCACCAAAAAGATATCCAATCATTGAAGGGAATGTTCTCTTTGTGGCAGCCAACACTGAGATTACTGTTAATAGTACATTTGCATCTGAGTTGCATTTGTATAGGACAGGGGTTAACAGCAGATTCTTCCAAGCTTCCTAAGGTAATTCTAATTATGTGCTTTTTAAGAGCCAATTTAGTAATTATGTGTTTGGCAATTTTAGATCCAAGCGAGCGTTGATAGTTCTAACATGTTTGGCAAATTTCAGTAAAATCAACTGGGCACCACAAACTATGGTTTTTAATAGAAGTTATATTTTGTTGCTTTTGCTGTGAAAAAAATTTCAGTTGCATGTTGCATTGACAAAATATCCTCATAATTAATATTATTTGGATAGTATCTTGCATAAGTTTTATTTACAATCACACATCCAAGGACCTTTGATTGGCAAGAAAAGGAAAGTTAAATAGGACAAAAAATATTATTCTCTGTTTAAGAGTGACCATGAAACAATAAAAAAAAAGTGAATAAATCATTAAAAAAAACTACTCAATAAATTAAAGAATAATAGTTTATTCTACAGTTATTACTACAATAAAAATATTCAAATTATTTTTCACTATTCAAAATTTCATCATTTTTTAAAGTGAAATTTTTACTTTTGTTATCATTTTACTGCCACCACTATTATAATAATTATCGTAACCATTTCTATCATCAAAACTACAATTTTCAGGTTATCATTATTACTACTAGTTTCCAGTACAATTTATGTTGTTTTGTCCAATACTTATATATATATATATATATATCTATCAAATCTCATGAATCACAAATTCAAACAATAGAAGAACGAAAAAAATGTATTATGACACAAGTAGTTCTACTACATTATTCTCCTTGTGTAGTTCTTTAATATGTATCAAACACATACTTAAAAATATCTTTTATCAACATTCTCGATTTAAACAACAGTAATTCTATCAAGAACACTTGATGGTGAGGTTTGCAATGCAGATTTTCTATGGAGCTCGACATTAGTTATTTGGGATGCAGGAGGAGTTATGTTTGTAACAGTGCAAGGAGAAGCAAGGCTGTGTTTGGATCGCTAATTGTTTCATTTGGGTGTTTGAAAAATAAGGATTAGTAGTTTTTTTACGAGGGAATAGCTTGCACTGTGTATTTGCTACTATACCTGTCTTTTTCCTATTCATCATAAGTGTATTTCGATATTTGAAACAAGAAATTAATTTAATCCGATCTAATTAAAGAGTTTGGATTGGATTGGATAATATACGATTTTTATTTAATTTATTATAAAAATAAATAAATTATTTTATCATTTTATCTTCACTAATTTTAAAATAAAGATATTGTTTATATAAAATATACTTAAATAATCATGAAAATAATAAAATGTGTTTCTAAGAAATAATAATGTGGTATAAATTTAAGAATAAAATCATGAAAAACAGTTAAGTATTATAATTTTATTAATTAATATACAGTCTTAAGAGTATGAGTAAGATGTTAATTTTATAAACAAAATTATATATATATATATATATATATATATATATATATATATATCAATTTGAATTAGATTGATTTTAAAAATGCGATTCAAATCTAATCCAATTTAATAAAAAAAAATTGATTTTTGCAATTTCTGGTTTGTTCAATTTTTAATTAATTCGGTTTTTAATTTTTCAGTTTAAATTTTTTACAATTTGCATTAGATTGAATCGTAATTGTTTTTTACAATGGCAATCACAAAATTAATTTCATCATATCACTCACAAAAACTACAATTGTTGACAAAACTACAAGTTATTAAACAAAGGACCATTTTACAAATAAAAAAAATTTATTAATGATGTAGAATAAAGATCATGTTACTACAGAGTAACTCTAAACAAGAGCTAACCTACTTCATATTTTTTTTATAAACATTAAATTTCATTAATCCAATTTTAAGTAAGATTATATATTATTGTTAACGATATAGATAAAATTTTAGAAAAATTAAATATTTATAAATATATAATTTTATAATTAATATTTATTTGTATTTAAAAAAATGTATATTAGACATCAAAAAGTTATTCAATGAAGTATTCATTTTTCATTTATTTGATTTTTTTTTTATAAATTTGACCTATTTAAATAAACTTTTAATTCATGATTGAATTGACAAAATTTAATATTCATAAAAAAGTTATTAAATAGAGTAATTATAACAAGAATTATTGCTAGAGAAATTTGAGTTAATATATCCACCTATTATATATTCTAACTAATCCTCCTAATACTCTATAAAATAAGAACCAATTAACATTGTAAATAAATTTAATATATAAAAAATATTCAATTCTTTCTTCATTTACTAGGTAGAAAAATTTGTAAGAAATATGTCGCAGGAAGACATAGAATTATTTCCAAAAATGGGTTTGACTATTGAAACTTGAAAGTAATAAAGATGTGTGTCCAAATTAATTTGAACCACATGTTTTCAAACGTTTTTTTATTGGAAAGTGTTGATTCTCCAACTTTAAAATAAACACATTTAGTGGACAACACAAAGGTAGTGCAGCAAACAGAGCCATGGTTCAATATTAACCCAATAGAATCCAATTTAAGCTCAAGCCCGCGTAAAGTACACTCTAAATGCTTTCTATAGCCACAGAAAATACTCTTGTAATAATTTTAATGTCATCAAGGTGAAGAAGCATCAAACAAAATTCCAGAAGTCAAAATTTTGGATATTGTTAAACAAAATATGTAATTCTAACAGACAAATCTGCATGAAAAAAATACTCCATTTAACCAAGAAGCATTCAGGCTTCTGTCATAGGATACTCAAATACTACATCCTTTCCAGTAAGCTTCCTGTAAACTCCAGAAAAAGTCTCCAGCTTGTACTCGGTGTTATTGCGCTCCTTAGGGTCCAAGAAAACCTTAAATTGATACATTGTCAAAAAGAAACAATTTATAAGTTATTGGGGGGAAAAATATTTGAACTAACATCACATTCACAAGCAGTTACCTTGATGATTTTTGACCCATCAATTCGATATCTGACCCGTTTACCAACAATCTCTGCAGGATGCACAACATCCTCCAGCATGGCATCATGGACAGCAGTCAAAGTGCGGGTTCGGGGACGCTGAACAGCAGAGCCTTTCTTTGGTGGCCGCAAGATCCTTCTTGTGGCAACCAAGACAACATCCTGTCATTTGGCACAATCTTCAGTTAACACAATTTGGTGATCCACGAAATTTTGGGTATTAGAGTAAAAAAAAGAAAGCTAGAGACCAATTAATTTCGTATCAAGTTGCTTTCCAGTAAAATACAACCTTCCCACTAAACTTCTTCTCCAATTCTCTGACAAGTCGAAGATGAATCTTGCGGAACGCCTTCCTCAATCTGTAAGGCACGTAGATGACTACAGCCTTGCGATTCCCAGCCACATCCATTTGACTGCATGAAATAAGTTGCCATCAGGAATAGAAAAGTTTCTATGACCAAACATGCATCATTTGATTCTTTACAACATCCTTACATTGCTTGATTAATATAGAGATCTTTCAAGTCACTTTTCAGATCCTGGTTGGTATTCTCTAAGTCAAACAAGTACTGCACAGCCATCAAATTACAGAGTTTCAATAAAAAGGATAGTCTTCAATTCATGAAAAAGATTTATCCTCAAGAAACAGAAAAGACAATAACCTGTGCTACTGTCTCCTCAAATTCAGTAGGCTCAGCATCCTTATCCTTGTGAATTTTCTTCCTCGAAGTGTACATTTTGATCAATCTGTTTCATGAGATAACAGCCACTATCATAACCTTATAAAAATAAGAATCAAAGTCATACAGTTTCCCACCTCCCACCTCCCAATTCCCTCTTTTTTTTTTTTGTTAATTCTCACTTCCCAAGCTAACATGCAAGATATCAACATGATCAAATCTAAAAATTGAACAATATACAACTTTTAAAAAATCATACATATTGTATTAATCTCGACTGATATTAGTTCCCATTATATATCACATTATTCGAAGAATGATGTAAGAAAAATGTTCAGGTTCTTAATTTGAATAAAAAATAGTTAACTGAAATCAATTCAAATAAAAAAAATCAAATTTAAAGAAAAAGAAAGAAACATTTTGAAGGGATATTGGGACGATTAAGGAAAGGAAAACTAAACAATATAGAGAATTAGGCAAATGGGGGTTGCATCATAATTGTTGGTGAAATTCAGAAGCAAATGCACAACAATGTTAAGCGAGGGGAAATTGAAGTAAGAGTCGTAGGTTAATACCAAATGGAGAGTGTGTAACCCTTCTGCTTCTGCTTCAGCCAGAGAGAGAGAGAGAGAGAGAGAGAGAGAGAGAGGAGGCGCATACGGGGTTTTTATAAGGATAACGAATAACGATTAGGGTTCATGTTGCCCTAATTTTGGACGGTAGCGCGTAATGTTAAGTCTACTCTCTGTAATTTTTTCAAAAAATAAAATAAAATTGTGAAATTATAATTTTTAAGAATAAATTATAAAAATAATTTTTTTTGCCACATACAATAGAGGGCTTAAAAGCCCAAAACAAAGCAAACAAATTATCTAATTATTCTGGAAAATTGTATATCATATACATCCTTATTTGAATAAATAAGCACATAAGCTAACTTCTCTGAACATATGATAAATTCTAAAAATGTTATAAATGTGTATAAGAAACTTTATATCTCCAACTAAAAGATACTTTTTCTCTTCTGCATCATATTGGATTGGTTAACTAGCTATTTTAGAGTCTATTTTAAATATATAAATCCTCACCTTTTCACTTTATATATCTATTCACTTTAAGAAGGGTTAAATCTCTTTATATTAACAATCTATTATAAAAAATTAATATGTCTTTATAAATTTTTTTTCTAATACAAACATGAGTGACTTCCTAAATGATCACGTAATTTTTTAATAAAATATGATAATTATACTTTCCATTTTACTATTATCATAAAAAAAAAACATTCCTATCAAATACATCTCATACACACACATATATATATATATATACTTACATTAATTTTAGTGTATATAGATTATTACAATATATTTTTTGTCTATATAAATGTCAAATTTAATTTTAGTAATCTATTTTTTATTTTTATCTTCATATAATTGAAATATGTTTAAAATATTTAATATTAGCACTTACTAATCACATATTGACTTAGAACAATCATTAGTCAACATGGTTAAATACAAATAATAAGAGAAATAATGAATTTTGAAATTTAAAATTTAGGAGAAATAAAACTAAAAATAGAAAATTAAATATAGTAATATTTACAAAAAAAAAAAAGCATGACAATCAATATTGTAAATGAGACTCTATTATTTGAAAAATAGATCATTAATCAAGCTACTTTAATTTCTCATGTGTACTTCTTAAGATTAAATTTAACAAAATTATAAATAAATTACTTTCTTATGGTGTAACAAATTTTTTTATCTACATATTTATTAATTTCGTTTTATTTTTTTTAAAAATAATTGCTTGGATTTTCATTATTACGGCTAATAAATTTTTATATTTTTCATAAATACCTATTTTATATTTATAAAAATAATGTTAATTTATGTTTCTATTTTTTGAATTTTAAGTTTACTTTTAAAAGTCTTATTCTTTAAATTTATGATTATTAATATATGTTGATTATTGATATTTATTTTATTTTTTTCATGATAAAAATATCATTTTAAATAATTTAATTTTATTGAATCTTCATCATTTAATGCATATTATTCATAATAGCAGAGTCAAGTCAAATTTTTCAAAAAATAAATTATTTAAAATAAATTTAATATATATATAATTATTTGTAAAATATAAATTTTATTTTTTAATTATTAAATTATATGCATATTTCTTATAAAATAAAATATTTGTACAGTTGCCATACTAGTTGAAGTAAAAACGGTTTTACATCATGGTTTAGTTATTTTTCATTGAATTATAAAAGAAATTGATGGTTTTTTTTTGTCGTGGGCCCAATTTTTTCATTGGGCCCATAGCTATGAGCCCGAAAGGCAAAGAACTGAAACTGGAGGAAGCAAGGAAACTCAGGACCCTGACCGTGAACACGAAGAAACCAGCCATGTGAGCTTCGCTTACTTCGATTTGAATCTTCACACTCTTCACTCTTTTCCAGGTGCTTCTCACAATGATGGCTCCGAACCGAGTCTCAGAGGATCGAGCCTCTCCACCTCATCACTTGAGGTAATCTCAATTCTTTTTCTCGAATATTTTAGTCATAAATAATTCTAGGTATGCCTAATTTTAGGGCCATGTTTCAAATTAAGGGAAATTTTTTAGAAGATCTTTGAACCAACGGTTTAATTTTGTATATTTATTAAGCTGTTTATTTCCTGTTTCCATTGGGACTGTACCAATGCTTTTTCTGTTTCCTTGAAGGTGTAATCGTAATGTTTTAGTTATTTTAAGAACTGGGTTGCAGCTACTGGTTCACTTTTTGGATTATTATTCTAAGCAATACTTACTCTGATGTTTAGTATTTATTTGTTTAGAGGGAAAATTTTAAGTTAATGTAAGGGCAATACTAACCGTTGCAATATTTTAAGTTCAACCCAGTGGCATGTATGCTAGAGATGTAATATATAATCATTTGCATGTTGTCATAATCTTTTGGGATAATTGATTCGTGACATGCTGTTAGAGCCTTTTGACCAAGTGGTCTAGAGTTCAATGCTTGCTCTTTCTGTTATTCTAATAAAAAGTTGAATTTCAGCAATTGAATCCTAAAATCCTATCACACTCCAACGCCCCAGTGCGGCAGTGCCTACACGGGTTGGCTGGTTACTGTTACTAGTCTCGGGCAAACATCGCAATGCCAGCGTTAGCACTTGCGCTGCTTGTTTGCAGCTGGAGATATGATAGAAGTCTCTGAGACCAAGTGATAAGAAAAAAACTTTGAGAGAATCATACCACAAAACCTAGCTGTTTTAGTTGGAAAGCCCTAGGCCTTATAAACCCCTTATTAGAATCCCATATTTCCCATGTAGGACTCAAGTCTCATACCTTGCAATTGGATTCTAACAATGGGCCTATGCATTAGTTGCGCTTCAAGCCCAAAGGTTTGGCCTCTTGTGTGAGGGACATATTAGAGATGTAATATAAAACTATTCATGTGTTTTCACCCTAGAGGTTAAACATTTGGGATAGTTGGTTTTGACAACATGTATGGTTATAGTGTTCACATGCTGCAGCATTATGGCTTTAGTGGTCATACATTAAGAATTTGTCAGCTTTTTCATGTTCTTTTGTACAGTATTGATTAGTGATTGATTGCCTATATTCTGAGAGTTTTGTAGAAGAGGTTTGTGTAATTGAAGGTTTTTTTTTTTTTTTTTTATTCTTATAGTGCTGATTATATTTTTCCCTTTGTAGACATACACCCTTGCAGATAATTCATATTGTTGCCAATTTCATGAGGATATGGTCAATATACTCCATGTACCGCTACTTATCCCAGACAGGAGCTTCAGTTGTTCTTTTTCTTTTTGCCTGCCTGGCCCCAGCATCCATTCTATTTTTGGTTTTGCAAAAGCCTTGGAAGGGCAGGCCACTTTCTAATACACAGGTAAATTTAAATTGTATTTTCTGCAGTGAAATGCTAAGGTAGTAGCATCAAATTCAATGTAAAAGTTATCATGACATGCACATGCCTTAGTAACCCCAATTGTTTTTTTCAGGTTGTGCCTTCTATAATAAATGGTTGTATAACGGCACTATATCTGGTCTTGTGGGGAAAGGGACTGAAATCATGTGGACCAGTTAGGTTGGTTTTTGTATCCTTGGAAAAAGTTTCAGTTGATAGCTTTAACATGTCAAGTGCTTAGTCTTAATATTTAAATGGCTTCAAGTTATGTGGCATCGTGGCTGATGCTCATGTCATGTACTCATGTAGATCTAGATAACTAATTTTCAAGGTTCAATTGAATCATTGATGTTATCCACCACCATTATATAGCCATTTCTGATCATTTTAGGATTGATGTATTGAGTGGTGCTTTGATTTGAATGAGAATTTTTTTCCTATTGGTGCATAAACTTAATGCATTTATTGTTTTTCTTATTAATTTAGAGCAATATTGGGTGAGTATTCTGGTGCTGTCCTTGGAGTTCTGTCTGCTGTGTTATACGGTAGGAGAAGCCATATATGGAAAAAGGTAAACCTTTCAGATATTCATGTTTGTTAAATATATATAAATGATGCCATGGAACCATGTGCTTGAATTGAATTAAATACCCATCCTACTTGAATTGTTTTGCCATGCCCAATGAAGATTTCATTTTTCTTTCCCCTCTATTCAAGCTCTTCCAGACATACAGTTATATGGATTCTTGAGTTTTTTCATGTTTCTAGTTGTATCTAGTCTTAGCCTGCGTTGGAGCATTTGCTATCCCGCCCTAGTTGTACTTTCCTCCTTTCTCTCTGATGCAACAACCAAGCCTTATCTCACTAGCAGAAGAAAAACAAGTTCTATAAAAAATGTATAAAATTATTAAAACCTTCTCTTTTTATAAAATGATGAACAACTAAATTTATGTCCAGGTTATATATGATATATGAAATGATGCAATGTGCCTTGCTTGCTGTTTTGGTATGATCGTAATATGATTTTAGGATCTTCTCTAATTTGATGGATACTTTCTTATTTTGAACCAGATAGGTGGTCTAATTGCCATGTTGGCTTCTTTATACTTGCTATCTGAAGGATGGGCCACAGCAACATATTCTCCTTTCTATATCCTCATTCAGACCGTGTTATTTTTTTTTCCCTTAAGTTGACTAAATTTACTGCTAAAACATCTTTTGCCCCATTAGTCCTTTTCTTGTTTGTCAAGTCTTTCATCCTTCATCTTTTCTGTAAGGTTGTAAACTTAACCAGAATTTACCATGGGAAGATAGAGATAATTCTGAGGCTCAGACAGAACCAGTTTTGGGCATGAAGCAAATGTTAGTTCCTATTTTTGCTGGTATCTTATCAGCTCTCAGGAGAGTGCTTGCTAGGCGCATTTCAATCAAGGTGGTAGCATTCTTGTAATTTGCCATTAGTACTTTCTTTTTGGTGTGAGGTGCTTTGTGTGTATCCTAATGTCTATCTTTCCATGTTTTATGTTTTCAGAATCAACTTAAAAGGCGACTCCATGCTTTAACTATTGCTTCTGCAACGTGTTTTATGTTTCCTATTGCCATGTGGGACATGATCATAGTGAGTTCTGTAATGCTATTTTCTTTTTAATGACTATAACTCTATATCAGGGTAACGTTTGTCTATATGGAATTCCTCTTATATTGTTTTCTGGTTTTAGCTTGGTCAACGTTTGACATTTTTGGTCCTTCAGGGATCACCTTCTGACAGCAATGGAAAGTTGCCATTCTCTGCTTGGGCATTCTTTAGCACTATTCTCTTTGGGAATATTGTGATATTCTATGCTGACAGTATTGCAGAGGAGAGGTATGCTACAATAATCTTGCCATATGTAATGGCTTAGTAACACGAACATGCTTATGCATTTTAGCAATTGAGTTGCTTGTGCTCTTTAGATTATTGGACAAGGTTGTATATTGTGACTATAAACTAATTGTGGTTGTGAAACTACTGAAAATCATACTTTTATTTTTTGTTGTAGATTGCACATGGTTTTCTCCTCACCAAGGCATTTAGCCGTAGCTGGTGCCTGCATCATTGTAATGGAGATTGTGTACAAGATGGATTTTTCTCTTACGGGCTTCATGATTTGCTGCTTAATATTGGGTTTTGGTATGTTTAGTAGTTATATTTGAATACTGAATATTCTTTTTAAATTTTATTTTTCATGGATTGTTTGTAGAACTGAAGTTTCTGTTAATTCATTGTCCTTCCTTTCCAATTTTTTTCATTAGGTTTTCAATTCAATTAGTGGCAAATATGTTAAAAACAACTACTTAAGTACACTATCTAGTTATCAAATTCATTAAATAGTATGATGTAATTTATAGTTTTTTGTTTCTAGTTCTCTCACTTTTACTAGTAAAACTCCTTGATGATGCAAAGTGCTAATAACACATATATGACCTAACTCTGTTTTTGAGTTTTGACCACTCTTTGATATGCCGTCCATGACTGTTTTAAGAGTGTTTCAATCTCTGACTTGCAGATAGGTCCAGCAGCCCTGCTGCATTCTTAGGTTTTCTCTTTCTATTTTCTTCAGTTTGTTTATTCTTGTTTTAGAGGATACCTTATCCATTCCTTCATTGTACTTATTCTGTCTCTCTTTAATAACTTTTTTTTTCTACGGAAACTAAAATTTAATGACAAATTTAGTACATGCCAGTTTTCACAAAATGCTTTTCCTAGAAAGTTGTTCATTCAAAAAGAAAAGAGTGAAGTCATATAAAAGAAAGTATAATAGTTGGCTTTCTACAGTCTATATATGTGGTTTCGTCACCTGGATTTTTCTAACAGAATTCATTTTCTGGAGAAGAAAAGAATCTGTTTTAAACTTAGTTTATCTTGAAGCAATGCATTTTTAATTCTTGAACTTCACTAGTTACTTATTGCCTTTTCTTTTCTGCAAGAACTTGATTTTTAAATAGTCTAAAAAATTTTAAGTAACTTCCATTAACTACAATTTCCTATCTCAGAATTTAATTTGTATTTTGGAGACACCAAAGATACTGAATCAAGGCTTTCTTGTTTTTTTTTCTCCTTTAGTAATTAATCTTAAATGCTCAATATAACGGAATTATGTAGGTATATATGAAGCAACTTCATTGGAGCGCAATAGAAAAGATTCTATCCGAAATTCAGATTTATCAAATGGAGAATTTGACGATCAAATCCAGATGTCACCACTACCTACTTGAAGTATGTGCATTTCATTACCAACTTGAAGTATGGGTATTTTATTCTCAACTTGTTTGTATGAAATGTGAATTTATTGCCAATTGTTTATTCAATGCGAGTGTGTGGGTATCTATTCCTTTCTATCCTGTACTTCTGCTTAGTTCAATTTATAGGTGTCGAGATCTAATTGCACTTTTCAGCAATATTTTTAGGATGAGTATCAATATTGTACTGCTGCCTTATACTACTGCCTTGTGATTCTCACATATGGCGAGACTGATTGCCAGGTTTTGCAATGTCCATTGAATATTCATTGTAAGCAATAATATACAAACATTTTAAAACATATAGTATAGAGGTATAAATTACAAAGCAATATTAAAATGTGAAAGAGCACAACAAATATGCACCTTTTTGGATCGATTTGCAATTATAAATAATTGCACACAGATGGGAAATTGTTATTGTGGGAGAGGGAGAATGATAGGTATGCTTTCTTATAAGAAGCCTGCACATGAGCTTAAGATATCTAGTGATAAGAATCTCATCTGTTTTAGCTGTGTTTTATTTATATAGAATTCATTATTAATCCTTTACAGCGAATGCTGGGTGTGCACTAAACTTTTTTGCTGGTTTGACAGTTACTAAATTTTGGTCATAACATGCAATCCGTGCTGTTATGTGGTGCATTTCATCGAAGGGTGTAATACTAGTGCTCGTGTTCTTAAGTAGGTTTCTTAGGCACAACGGTTGATTTAGATAAGATTAGGTGATTAGCTTCTATTGTCTTTTAAAAGAGGTTTCTCTAAAAGATATACTGTGAGATTGAGCTGCTTCCCATGATGTTTCCTTTTTTCTTTTATTTTTCCCTTTTCGTTTTGGGGAATGGATGATCCCCATATTTCTAGTTTCTTCTCTCCATCATAGTGTATTGCTTCTTTTAAGGGAAAAATGACAGCAAACAAAACCAGCTTTTGATAATTAGCCCAAAAATGTTACTACCTCCGGTCGTATCTATAAGAAACAAATACCTAATTCACTAAAACAAATAAAAAGTAGTTACATGTCATAAATTTATACTCTATTCCAAAAATACCCATAGTATTAATTGATGTTTTACATATTAAATGAATGAATGTGTCCACTTATATGAGTAAAAGGTGAGTACCTCAGTAACACAAATCTCACAATCAATAAGGATATAAAAGTAATTCAGAAATTAATGCATTTGAAAATAGATCTCTTTCTTATTAATTAAGACTAAGAAAATATTGATGGTTGTTTTTTATAAATAGGACCAGAGGTATTATTATTTAACTTCCCATCGCAATTGCAATAGTTGATGTGGAGATAGTTTACTTTCTTCCTTGGCTAGTAATTATTCAGTGTCAATATTATTAGTTGATGTGGAGATAGTTTGCTTTGACGATTTAGGGCTGCTTTATACCCACTGAATAATGTGGGATATGGAGAATTCTGTCACATTGTGGTTGGTTTGCTAATCAATTTGAAACGAGGTTAAAACTTTTCCTAGATTGAATTCACAATTTATTGCTAATGAATTGCCATGTTGGAAGTGTTGAAGGAACAAGTTGCGCAAATGTGGTATGAAATGGATTCTTCATATACAAACTGAGCATATTCCTTAATATGTTAAAAATTGTGATGAAAAACATGTCCAGGAAAATGAAAATTAGAAAACATTGCATAGATGAAACACACTTATAATGGTAGTTGTTGTTCAGGATCACAATTAGTTTTATTTCATCAGGGGCTTGCAAAAAGGTTTATTATGTTCCCTTGTAGTACTAACTATTGGAATTTAAACGTCGTCAACACTATCTTTTTGCCTCTAATATTCTTGTAGGGTAAGTAGATGCAATCACTTGTTTTCCCGTAACCTTGGCAAACATTGTTGCTTAGCTCAATAACAAACCTGCATGACTTGAAATTAACTATACTTTTATCAAGACATGGTAGTTGTGGATAATGTAACCTTTATATTCTGAGAATTTTGGAAACAGCTCTAGTGCAATTTTGGTGACATAAAAGAGAAGGAAAGATATTGAAAGCTTTGTATAGGATTAATAAATGATAAATAATAATTTGAACAGTTTACTGTCCATCTTTAACTTGAGAGTGGGGAGATGAAGTGAATAATCTTAATAATGCTGGTTGTTTTTATCTGAAGGAGAATTTTGTTTGTTTGTGTTCATTTTTTCAGGCTGTGTGAGAACACATAGGATGGATTCTGTGGACCCATAAACCTCTTGCTATGTCTTGAGTTGCACTTTGTCACTGGCAATTTCATTTTGTGCACTAGTTACTGACAAGCTGTTACCCACTGTGAAGATGTGTTATCCTCCACTTCTGAGAAGTTCCAGCATCTAGATTGTTATCCACCAGATTCTTGATGATTGATCTGATCTTTTTGGGAGGTTGAAGTGCACTTTTAATCTACAAAGTTCAATATTTTACTTCCTACAAGATCATTGTTAGTCTGGCAGTTCATTGTGTAGTTTGGGAGAAATTTTCTGTCACAAGAAAAAAAAATCATTATTAGGGCTCCTGGTAGTAGTTCTTTGATTCTTGTTGTAATTGAACCTCCCATATGACTACACATTTAATGAAATTATTGAATATGCCAAACTGTTTGGTTATTCTTTGCATACCCCCCCCCCCCCCCTCTCTCTTTCCCTCCCCCTTTTTTTGAGATGGACCAGGCTGGAAGTGTATACTTCCACTTGTGCTGCCAGCAAACTGCCATATATATTAGTATGGTCACCAAACAAAAATGAATACGGTCACCGAACAAAATAAACACAACCCAAGATGGGTCTCCTTCGATGTATAACCTTAAATTATCACTCTAATTTGCAAGCTAGTTATTATATTTATTTCTCACTAACAGTGAGTAAACTTTTTCTCTCTCACACACCTGAGCTTGACCCAGTATTCAGTGTAGACCAAGGAATTATCACATTCATTCAGTAGACAGTAGTTAGAGAACTGGTGTTTAACTAGCATGCTACTATCCATTCATCGTGCCAACTCAACGCCTAACACTGCCCTATAGTTAAGCAATAGATATGATGACAGAAGCCCTTAATCGAACTTTAATCATTTTGGCCGAGAGTTTCACCATAATTAGCACCAGTAAGAATCGGTTTTGGTAGTTTTTTCAATAAATATTTATAGGAAAATAAACTAAAAAGGAGGTCAAATGAAAATAACTTTTTTAGGTTAGAATCAATTTATGCATATCAGGTTATAGTGGAATTAGATGAGGGAACTTACGAAAAAAGTTTAAGCACATGATTTATTTTTAACTTATGCCTTTGGATACACCACCTTTATTATGCTTGAAAGGTATTTTGTGTGTTACGGGTTAAGGTACATTTTGCCATATACTAGATATGTGGCCTTTTTAATTGTTTATCCAGCCACATTTTACAGCGATTCTATGAGCACATCACAATTATTTCCAACATGGTAAACCTTTTCTCATTTCAAACTACCAAAATACTTGAATACGAAAAAACACAATGGGATTTTCCAAAAATCTTTTCATTTTTTCATATGACAAAAGAATAGTAAGGAAAGACACAATTCTACTATTTGAGCCAACCTTAATTGTCATGTTTTTATATATTTAGTTTGAACAAAAAAACACTTAATTTTCAACCTAGTGGTAAGCTCATTCCCATTTCAAAATACAGTTTGCGATGCTAATATGGCTTAACAACTGGTCTGAGCAAAATTTTGGAGACAAAATAAGCTTAGATGATTTATTTTGATCACATGGTTATATGCATCATGGTATCTAGATATATATAGCATGTATTCGAAAACACGTTAAAAAAACTTGCAAACGTAAATCCAACGCAAAACCAAACATGCTAGGAATGTCCTTGAGGATTCTGGTGCTGCCAATTAACAAAAACATGTCTAGTTATCAAAGGTTGGTTGAAAATTATTGCTATGCAACTTAAGGAAAAAGAGTCAAAACATTCAGTCACAAATTATTTATAATATAATGTTCTCTTTGAGAAAAAAAAATTCCAATGACAACTATAAGTAACTTTAACTCAGACGTGAATTTCTGAAATTCTTAAACTTCAAATGAAAATTCTATTTTGGTTCTGTGGGAATGAAAGCAGGTGGATCCTACAAGCCATGCTTGTTTTTTCTTGTGGTTTTAGTCATTGTTTTGGTGATGACATGAGAGAGAATCCCAATGGGGCAAAAGAACAAGCAAAGTGAAATTGAATGCCGAGTCTCAATCTGATTCTCTAGTCCATCTAGAAAAACATGCCTGCATTATACACACAAAAATGTTATAAGATTAACTGAAAATGAGAAAACAGTGAAGAAAAACAAGGAAGGGGAGTGAAGAAAAACTGAGCAAACCTTGCAGCAAAGAGATCAATAACCAAAAGGTGAATCCATGCTGAGGCTAAAGTCATCTCTCTAGAGAACATTTTTCCTATACTAGTCAGCTGCACAAAGGATAAAAGAAGATAGCACAGTAATATATATAATTGTTGTGCAAAGGGAAACTTTACTTTATTGATGAATACACACCTCTGGTAGCAAGTATTCATTTGCGAAAATCAATCCAACAGTCTCAGGGTTCCAAGAAAGGTACAATAAATATGCATACAGAATGCCAAGCACTACATAAGGTACACTACTTTCCATAGACTTTTTAGTCTGCAATTTTGCATTTAAGGAAAATGCATCAGCATACATCCATATTAGCATGTGACAAATATTTTTATGTATGTTATCTATACATGTGAAAAAGGTATTGTAATATTGTCAGTTAAGATCTTTTCCAAATATAGACAAACATACTAGCTCAGATTTTGGAGCTAGAACCATAAGTGTGTAAAATGGAAGAACTGCCGTAGTTCCCAGCGTAAAGGCGCTGCTAGCAAGTTGTGATCCTGACAAGCCTGCAACTTGAAGGTAGAAAAATGAATATAAGGAACTTATGTAGTCGCTACTGGTTATCCACAAGGAAAGAATGTTCAGTGAGGTTAACACGAAGAGTATAAATTAGATGAAAAGAGATTATGATAGTTGAACAGCACAGCACCCTTTGCTATAAACACAAGAACTTGCATTATGTTTTGCATCAAAATAGATAATCCCAACAGTTAAAGGTAATATATTACACATCCAACCAAAATGATAGTAGGAGATTTGACTCTAGTCAATTCCATGGTGCCTGATGGGAGGAAAATGAAAAGATGACAAAATAAGAATTCCATCCTGGCAGATTCAAGACACGAATTACACTGAAGGAACTCATAAGAATAATGTAAGGATTGTCCACAATGCAACTTGGTTTCTTATATACCTTCCAAGATAGTTTTCATCTTGGATTTAATTTTGATCCATTGTGTGTGCAAGATATTTACACTACCAGTTAATCACACTTTCACACTTCTAAGATGAGTTTTGAGTATAGAACTACTTGAAAAGTCAAAATCATTCAATGATATGGTTGATGACAGTGAAAGAGCTTAACATTGATAGTGAATCTAAGTATCCAATACTAGTCCCAGAAACTCCTTACAAGAATTGTTTGTTCTACTGAATGGTAAATCATATCAATTAAACAATAAGGTAGCAATAACTTGCATCAATGGTACTTTCGTACATGAAAGTGATTTTAAAGCGGAGAGACCTATAGCAGAACCTCCAGCCTCTACTCTATAAAACTAGGTGACATGTAACAACATCATCTTTGTGCAAAACCAAAGGTCGAAAAATGTAACTTTATTAGAGTGCTGAAATAGTTTGGATCAGCATCAGACATTTGAATCTTGGTATCATAAAAGTGAGTTTCAAAATAGCAAATATGGCACAAAAAAGGATTACATGAGGCATATACATGACCAGCTTTTTGATAAGGAACCATTCGCATAACTTCTGGTTTCACAACAACTCTTGATCCTCCTATGAAACTCCAATCTCTGACTAAGTTGACTCTACATCTCTGATTAAGTTGACTCTGGTTACAAAGCTCAGGCTCAGCACCATTACTTCGGATAGGGAAAGGAAACTTTTGCCCCTTTCCAATTCTACCATAAGGCTTTATAGTCTGCCCCAAGTGATCAATCTATAAGAAATAGAACCTTCAATTGTAAGCAACCTTCTTGAACCCAAAAATACACACATTCAAAACATCAGAATAAATAAACTCCATGATTGATCTTCATCTTACATTATAATTGAACTTCTAATCACTTCAAAATAACAGATCATGATGCAATGATCAAATGAACAAAGTGCCAAGCAGTTTAAAAAAATGCATGCTTATGTGTGCAACACAATTGCATGAGTTTATAGGTTTGGTGATACAAAGTGCAAACTTTTTGCCATATATAACTCCTTGTTAGTATAACATACCAACATGCCCCCTAGCATATATAACTCCATAGAACGACAAAGATCTATCTCAAAAATCAAAAGGTGCACAAATATCAATTTTAGATCTATCTCAAAAATCAAAAGGTACACAAATATCAATTTTAGTAAAGTCACATTCACTCAAGTTCAAAACTTCCAAGATAAAAATAGAAAAAAAAAATTGGAGATGACAATAAAAGAACTGAGAGGATATTAAACACTGGGAACTATACCTTCAATGCTAATGGAGAATGACAAAAGAAAGAAGTAAAAGCCATGATTGAAGCAAAAATAACTGGGACACTGAATTTTTCATCAACAATGACGACTTCATAAATATATATAATGCACATAAGATAACGGTGACAAGACTTTCCACTTAGAAACAAGGTAGAAAGACAGACCCAAAAGAAGAAGAAAAAAGGGTAAGTGTCCACTAATTGGAAAGTGTTAAGAGTTGTATGGAAGACAGGGCACGTAGCACCAAAAAGTTTGCTAAACAACAGGACAATATTTTATTTTATTACGTCTAAATCATACTCTTTTACAAGAGAGAATTTTATTTGAGCAAAAATAATCACAGCATGCTAGAATAAAATTTTCTAATAAATATTTTTCATACATATATAAAACTCAAACTTGAAACTTTATTTAAAAAAAATAATTAAATATCATTTAAATTAAGAGGAGTGTTAGAATAATACGCTGTGATATATTTTTTATTTTTATGTGATATTTAATAATAATATATACCGAATGAGATTTTTAAAAAAATTACAGAGAACTAAAAAATTGTTAATAATACAGATATAAATGTTCTAAAAATCTTTAAAATACTAAAACTTACTATTGAAAAATTTTCAAAAAATTATAAAAATTTTTGAAGGATCATTTTATTTTATTTTTCATATTCTCCTAATTTTTTAAAAATTTTCATATTTTAGAATTTAATAAATTTTTCTCACAGAAACATTTACAGTTATTTTGACTAAAATTTATTATATTACAAAATATAAAGAAGCATAATTAAATTAAAAAAAAAAATAAGACTCATATAATCTTTAATAAATTTTAATTAATAAATTAAAAATATATATATATAAAAAAGGGTGTAATAAAGTAACATTTATTTTTAATTCAACAACATACGTCTTCGGCTCCACTTTCATCATCTTCTTTGTGTTGCTTTATTTGTGGGTCTTATAATTCAGTTCTTTATTGGATGGTTACGTATCTGAAGTTGACCGACTCAACAAAGTGGGTCATTTTACCAATTATCTGTTTATTTAAATAATAAAAAATTAAAGTTTTTTGATAATTTTTTTTATGATAAAAAAGAAATTAAAGTTTTTAATATTATAAATAACTAAACTTTCATAAATTTACATTTACATGTTTATTGTATTCTCTTATACAAGTTATTTTACAATTCTTTAGTGTCTATGTAAGTTGTTTGGAAAAAGACAAAAGTATATAAGTATGTCATATAAGTTAGGGAGAAGTTGGGACTGGGATTCTCTGCAGTATATTTTTATATAATTTTTTTTTATCTTGTCTCTTTAATTGAGTTTGCTTAGATAATTGAATTATAATTATTTAAAAATAATGTAATTTATGAATTTAAAATGGGGTCTTCATATTATATACTTCAAAATTATAAACAAATAAATTACAATTACTTTTTTGGTCATGATATGAAATTTGTATTTAAGATATAAATGTATATTTTTACTTGTACATAACTACACATAAGCTTGAATGAAGGGTTTGGTAAGTGTGCCTAAGAATAAAAATACATGTGTTTAATAAAAATATAAAACATGATTATTACCTTAATTTAATATCAATTTCATCAAATTACAAAGATTGCCTCTATCATTTATCTATCCCAAAATGTCAATCTTCAATTTTCTTTCAATATCAAAATTAATATACTCAAATATTGTGCATGTTATAAAAATTTTGAATTTTATGAATGAATCAATTTATGATGCTTATGTTAAATTGATATTGTATATTATTAAACACATGAATCAACTAGTGTAAAATTATTCTATTTTAATACTTAGTCTTAACTTTGAATTTCAGTTAATATAATTGTGTTAAATATTTAAAGAGAGAAATTTACCATATATAATAGTCCTACTTCATAAAATATCATTTGTAAATGATATAAATAAAAAAAATTAAAATATACTTTTTCATTGCTTAGTATGCAATATTTATTATATTTGATGATTTATTTCTCTAGTTTAACTAAGTAAAAATAAATTAACATGTAATGTTAATCACATTAAGACAATCTTAAATTTATTTTAGCATTAACATAACGGTAGTTAATTTATTCTAAAGGACTTTAAGGAGGGTCTTAGGATACTAATTAAAAAATAAAAAAAATTATATAAAAAGTACTATACATACTTTATTTAGTATTTTTTTAATTTTAAGATATCATCGTCAACTTTTTTTCCTTTCATTTGACTAAGATAACTTAAATATTGTATTTACATGAAGTAATTTTGTCAGTACTATTGCAATTTCCTAAATATATTAGAAATTAAGCTCATTCAAAATCAAGTATACAAACATTTAGGAATAGCAACGGATATGGTATGCGGATGGGTATTATACCCATATTTTTAAGAAAATATTGGTACCTAACTCCATACTTATGTGGGTATAAACATTAATCCTTACACCTGTATCCGTGCTTATTTGAAAAAAAAAATTTATAAAAAAAAAATACGCTTATATAACTTTATATAAATATTATAATAATACAAAAATTTAATACGTAGTTATCGAATAAAGTACAAGCATAGATAGAAAATAAATATTCAAAAATTGTAAGTGTTAATTGTATTTTAATACAATAATTTTTTAAACTAAAATTCTTAGAAATCATAAGCAAAATTAAACATTCAAGTTATTTGTCAGCAATGAGGGTCTTATGTGAGATCCGACCGAACGACAACAGCAGAGCGATGACGAGATAGATCTCTACAATGAGTGGCCTCTCATATGGGATTACTTGGTGACCTCTTGTGACGACATTGACAACTACCTCTAATAAATAGCGATTCATGGTTGCTGCAATTGGTTTGAATGAGACAGACATTGAGAATGAGAATAGAAACAGATAAGCTTAAGTACTAAATGACAAAGAGAAGTTGACATATAATACAATTTTTTTTAAAACTTTTAAATTAAAATTGTAAAAAAAAAATAGATTTAATTAAAATAATATAATATAATTAATAATATACATATATATATATATATATTAATACTAGTATTTTAGCTTATGTACTACACAAAAGTATTTTGTCAAAAATACAAATTTTTAAAAAATTATTTTAATGAATTAAATATTTATAATGTATATAAATTTTAAAAGAAAAAATTTGAATAAAAGATAAATGGTCACAGTAAAATTTTATAATAAAAAAAATTATACTTTTTTATCTGAAAAAATTAACAAATAAGAATTAACAATATTTTTTTATATTTTATTTCTTTCCAAAAAGTTCTTTGAATATAAATAAATGGTAAGAATAATATTATTTAGATTCAATAAATTGTAGTTGTACTTGTAATGTACATGTTGCATAGGAAAATATTATTTTAAATTAAAATAAAAAATAAAATTTAAATATTATTAATAAATAATAAACTTACGGTGATAATAGGTAATTATAAAATTTATAAAATATTTACAATATGATTTATCATTCACTTTATGATTTAAATATCAATATGATTTTATTAACGAAAATATTTGTGTGAAAAATATTTTATATGTACATCATGTATAAATAATATTTTTAAAAAAGTCAATCTCATATCAACTATATAATAATTAAATTGTATTAGTCTAATTAAATAATATAAAATAGTAAATAAATTTTTTTATTAAAAATATGAACTAAAATAATTTTTTTGGTTTACTTTATTATTGAATATATTTTTATATTTATCTTATATAATTTCATATAAGTAGTATAATAATACAAAAATTCAATACATAGTTGCAAAACAAAGTTTAAGTATAAACCAATATATATATATATATATATATATATATATATATGTGTGTGTGTGTGTGTGTGTGTATCCCTGCGCGAGCGTGTATGTATGCTAGTATGAGACGAGTACTTAGATACTCATATCTACACCTATCCCCATTAAAATTTATAGATATTTATCTATACCTATACCTATACTCATATAGCATATAAATACCCAACTTGTTGCGAATAAATTTTGCAAATGTCGATCAAGTCCTTTACTCATTGTCATCCTTACAATTATTCAATTAAATACACACAAAAGATTTCCTCATAAGTGTTTATTCCAAAGTTTCTAACTTTAATTTTTTCTTTGCAAATGTTGCTTGATTAGCACCAAGGCTAACCTTTTGTAGCTAAAAATATATTGATTAATTAAATTGAAGGTCATTAGGATACTAATTAAAGAATTAAAAAAAGGTGTTATACATACTTTATTTATTATTTTTAATTAATATATTCAAGATATCCATTAAAGACTTTTATTTTCTTCATTTGGCTAGAACAACTGAAATATTGCATTTGCATCAAGTAAATTCCGTTACCCCTGTTGTAATTCCTTAAAGACTAGCACGAAGAGATTCTCCACACAAGTGCATATTCCAAGTTTGAACTTTAATTCTTCTTTTACGAAGTACTTGTAGGTGAAAAAATATTGATTAATTTTTAAATATAAGCTATTTTGGATATAATAACATAATCCAAACTCACATGTGAATTGATAGCTGCTTGGTAAGTCACAGACCAAGAATGTGCAGAATACTTAAAGGGAAAAGGCAATAACATGCAGTCACATGACTCATCTACACCATGCCAAACAAGGCAGCATAATAGCCATTACTTTTGTGTTTCCTCTATATTTCTCTTTTTTTCCACTTTATTATATAAGATATAAACATCATATGTTATTCACATGAAACAAGGTTATGATCTAATAACTTCTATAGAAGCAATAGCAACTTTCTATTTTCCTTTGCTTACAACAATCTGAGTGAATATTCTTTTGAATCAATAGATAGCAAAAGTAATCAGTATTAATAGAAAAAATGATTCTGTTTCAAGCTGTGCTCATCAAGCCAAGAAATGATGTCACCAAAAACTTGAATTATAATTTCATCAGGCTCACCCTCAAGAAGAGAATGGTAAGCATCCTTATAAAGCTTAAGCTTCTTATCAGAACAGTTTGCTTTCTCATGCAAGACTTTGCTCACTGATGGATCAGTCACAGTGTCAGCCTCCCCATGAAGGATTAATAATGGTAGAGAAACCTGTAATCACAGCCATTGCATGAGAAGATGAATAAATTTCATTGCACTTATAGAATACCTCAGGGGAAAGAGTAAAATTTCAGATTTAACAACAGTTCTAAAATTGAACACTCAATCACAAAAACACAATCACTCTACAGTTACAATCTATTAAAGCTCCAAGATATACTGTCATGCAGAGAATGACACCATTTATAGTGCTGTTAGACATAGTATGGGCATTGTATAAGAAGTTTCTCACATTTGAGCATAGTAGCATCTGCTACAGTACCATAGTTAGCTCATGTTTAGAGAGATGAATTATTCTAAGTAGATTGATATGTTGTAAGAAGTATGTAGGTATATTTATTGCCTACTTAACAATGAAAATGGGCCAATTAAGCTTACTGTAATTAAGAGAGGAAGACCAACAGAAATGTCCTATTTATGCAGTAGAGCGGTGTCTTAAGAAGCCAGAGCAAAAAGTAGTCATAAAAGGATCACTGTTTCTACAGTAACCTCAAGACATTCTTAAACATCTAGAAATTTCTAAGGGTCTTCTCTAGACACAGTTTTAGGGTTTGTAGCTCTTAGATTAGAATTTATATGCACTAGTTTCAACTATTGAACTAGGTATGGATGAAATATTATCCTATTCTAGCATCTTTCCCACCATAAACTAATGATTCTTTTGAACCTATGACCTTGGCCAAAATTTCCACTAACTTCAACCACCTAGTTTAGATGAATCAGAATATCAGAACATACTTCCTCCAATCGCTGTTCTATTTCTTGAGTAGTTTTAAGCATTTCTACGGCAGTCCGCAAGCGTGGTTTATCCTTGTAAGCAATAACATTATAGGCAGCCTGCAGAGACATTACAAAGATGTCATACCAACACACAGATTACCAATATGAAATGCATGATAAGGATTGGACAAAATTGGAGTCAATAGCAATAGGAGGTGTGGAAGGAAAAAGATGGATCTTTGGATTCACATTAGCAAACCAAAAATAAAATTTTGTCTGATTAAAAATTACAAACCTGTTCCTTCTTCTTCAAATCTCTGAAAGCTGCCTCTGCTAAATCCTTTTGTGGAACCAACTTATGCCTAGGAAGAACATTGGCTATGCCAATCAGGATATGAGTGAGCAACTTTGGTGGAACCATGTCATCTGCAATCTACACAGGTTTTCAGGTCAAAGGGAGATCAAAGGAAAGCCCATGAGAACTCTTAGCATGATTGTGTTTGAGAAAACATACCTTACACATAGGTGCAACAAGAATGGCACCATCCCATGCCTTAGGTTGTTTCAGGTGTACTTTTAATGCAACAGCTCCACCCATGGACTGTCCAAATAGGAAGCTGGGAAGAGATTGGAACGGTGGATTTTCTGCAATAGAAAAAACCAATTTTTTTGCATGAATACAGTAGTATCATACTCCCTTGGGATTATGTTATTCAACTCGTTTCCAATGTAAAATGAAAATACATGTAACATTTACAATTTGTGAAGAATGAACTTTCAGTGTTTCCATGTTATAGCCACAATTCTTGTTTCTTGGCATTGTAGAATATTTGACAGCCAAGCTACCCACATTTCTTTGAGCACATAATGAGACTTGTAAGAGACAGTTGAGGTATTTCCTTCATCAGAAACAACTTAAAGCTTTGCAACCCATCATGAGAAGAGTTCACTGATAATTCGCAGTAATTTTATTTGCAAAATGTCTATTTGAGACATGCACTTTAGCTACTACCTAAATTGGAAGATATATTAGCTTCATAGCTTGAACAAAAAATGAGATGAAAAATTTCAAGCTGATGAATTTGAATTTTCATAAAGCTCAATAGTTTCCCTTTTCAAATGTGTAATAATAATTAATCTCATGTCCCCCTTAGTTTGCTTTTCAGAAAAAAATTCCATGAGAGCTCTCTAAAACATTTTGATGTCTATTCTAGCTATCCTCCTACCCAATACCACTGCAACACACAACTTATTAGTTAACTCTCATTTTTTTGGATATTCTCCATGCATCTTTCTATTATGGAACATTATTTCATATATAGATGTAGACTGCTTTCAGAAGGAAAACTTCAAATACTTTAAACAACATAAGTAAATACTAGTTCACAGACCGCCAGGATTCAGCATAGTATTGCATTCCATGATGACTGAGAATTTCGTGACTGGGGGTTGATGGGAGTATCAGTACCTTTGATTTTTGTGTAGTGTTCAATGACATCATCAACGAGCCCGTCAAAACTGTGAATATAGGCATGGAGACCTTCTGAAAGACCAAATCCTGGATAATCCATGGCAAAAACTCCATATCCAGATAAAGCCAGTTTTCTAGCTATTCCTGCAAATAATTTCCATGATATGATTGAGTTGCTAATCCTTAAGGTTACTGAATGTAGGTACTAAATAGCTACCAGTTCTTAATACCAGCTACATGCCTTCAAAGAAAAAAGTGCAAGTGTCTCCATAACCATGACAGTAAAATACTGCTGCTTTTGGCCTAGATGCACCAGGAAGCCAACTTTTGCAGAAGATTTCAACGCCCTTTGAGTTTTTCTCATATGACTGTTGCATATCACACACATCAAGTGATCATCACATACAAACAACAAAACAGGACAATAACAAGTTGGCATTCATGATGATTCATAGCTATAGTTAGACGAAACATAAATGGCATGAAAACATTTTAGACTAAACTTCTTACCTCTTCCATTTTTATTCCACCAGATGGAGTCTGCAAAACAGCAAAGCATAAAAGAATTGATATTAACATTTAAAGGAAATCAAATTTTAGTTAAAGTGAAATAGAACATCAGATAAAATGATCACTGCACCATGTACCCTAAAAAAACTGATCCCTTCACCAAAGTGTAAATACCAAAAGCCAAGACTCTGGAGATGTCTACAAATTGATGGATTTGAAACAGCAAGGAGAGAAAAAAAAAAATAGTACCAATTTCATTGTATATGATAGTGTGTGAAGCAAAATGAGTAAGAAAGAATGAGCAGGCCACAATACTAGAGTCAAAAGGAGAAAAACCAAAATAAAAAAATAAGTTTAACGAGTATCATTCACTCAACTGTCTTAGGTATCATAAGTTCTCACAGATTGTTGAGCAGTCTATTAAATATAAGCGAAATGCTACAAATACACTTTAAGAAATTGGGTCATGTTTCAAATTTGCATTGGAAATTGGAGCAATTCTAATGCAAGTACAGTGCTCACAACTATAAAAAACTTGGACTAAGATTAAGATAACTTCAGCATCGCATTTGCCATGCTCATGCAAGAATTGTTCCAATTATTATTTTAAGGATCTTGTTAAGTTTTTAATTCCTTAAATAGTACCCTTAAGACGTTGGTTAACATTGGTTTAATTTTATTATCTTAAACATTTGATTGATTGTATCTATTAGCACTATATTTATGCAAATAATTACTCTAGAAATTGACCCTTTTTTATTTAATTATTGAGTAGCTGTGAAACATGATCACATAATAATACACTAAAAAGTGTTTAAAAGAGTGTTTTCCTAGGATTTCGCCTCTTACATTGTAATTGTATTAAAGTAAAGAAGTTGCAACTCAACTACATTCTTCTTTATCATTTTTGTTAATTTCAGTCTTTTTAAGATTGAGTTTAAGCATCTGATATATATTATGAAAGATACAAAAGTATAATATATTTTTTTTTTCTAATAAAAGCTTCATGAGTACTTTTAGATGCTTAATTCCATTCATTTCAGTAACAAAACCGTTTTTCCTTGAACCAAGTCAGCTACATTTAATAGCTTGAACAGAACACCTCCCTAACCCGCCGGCTTTACCAAAGAAGAAGAAGAAACAGAAAAGAGACTTTCCCTCTTTAAAGTTTTAACCCTCTATTAGAAATCTCAAAGTCAATGTTTTAAATCCACGTAACCATGTTAAGCCAGGTCTCAACAACCATCTATTATACCAATTAATGTCCCCAGAACTATAGAAAGAGAAAAGAAGACATCTTTTTGCTACATATCCCCTGGAAAATTACAGTGAAAAATCTGCAAAAGTAAATCTATTGTAAAATTCAAAACTAATAATATTAAAATAAACGTGAATCTATGAACATTTAAACAAAAATCAAAACACGTGAACAAAAATTTACTCAGAAAACAAAACCAAACAACTATTTTTAAAACAAAACACCGACAAATAGTAGATTGATTTCATCAACTCCTCAAACAACGACAACATAAAAGAAACAAAACCAAAGACAAACCTTAAACAGTATATGGTCAATCCCAAGCTGAACATCCTTGAAGGCCTCACGAGCACGCCTTCTAGCATCCACTCCATCCATCTTAGTATTCAAAATCTTGTGCAATTCATCATCAACCCCTGGTAGCCTCATTCTTGATACCCTTATCACCTCTCTCCTAATATTCTTCTTCTTATGGATACAAAATGCTTCTCTGAATTCTAAAGCACCCCAAACACTTTGATTTAAAGACCCAGAAACAGAATCAAAGGAAACAGACTTTGACACCAAAGCCCATAAGATAAATACGTATAATATATTAAATTAACAGAAACAAACAAAGGTAATGGGAATAGAATATTAAAAAAATCAACTTTGTATTTCACTTTTAGATTTTTAATGTACCCACCATTCAAAGGGTGGCGCATGCATCTGTAATGCTTTGTTGTGGGTCTTAGTGCAAATATGGATTTAATCATTACTTTATTGGAAACAAAATGAAATAGGATCCGCAAAATATGGAAAATCTGACTCAGGGAAACAAGGATAACGACAGCGAAAATATATTAAAAAAAATGCGATGAAAAAATAATTAGCTAAGGAAAAAAATTAAGAAAAAAACATAAAATAAGAGAAAAAAAAGTATTTTCTTTTTGGCTTTCATTTGGAATTTGCCTCACTAACGTTAGAAAATTATTTACTAAGAGAGAGATGAGATTTTTCTTAGGGTGGAAGGATTTGACTAAAGTTAAAAAGTTGAAATGGGTTTGTTTGTTTGATTATGAAATTGAATTTGAATACGTTAGCTAAGGTTAAGATTGGGAAGTGGTGGGTAGAAGGTTCTATTCCAAGACTGATGAAAGAAGAAGATGGTGGCGTCTCAGATGACGCCACTCAGAACGAGAAATTAAATCATTTTTTTTTTCAATTCAAATATAGACTTGTTAACCAGTGTCTCATTAAGAATTTGATGAAAATTTTATTATAAATTATATCAAAATATATTTTTAAAATATGAATATAAATATAATTTTTTGATAAAATATTTTACTTTTTATTTCTTAACTAATGTCCTAATTTTTTTTTTTGTTAAAATATAAGTATTTAAAGACACAACTTATCCGTATATTGTACAGATTTTAATATTATAATTATAAAATATATTAAAATATTTAATAAATTTTTTATTAATATTAATAAATATTTATTTAATTAAATAAAAATGAATTAAAGAGATTAAATTTTTAAAATAAAAATATTTAAATTATCCTTTGATAAGATAATGAAATTTTACGTTAGTATGCTGTAAATAAATCAAAGAACATATAAAAAGCAAAATTTAAAAGTTTAAATTATTTTAAATAAATAGATCGAATTTAAATTCAATTTCTCTAATTAAACACATACATTAAAATTTTAATATAATATCATAACTTAGATCTAAAAAATTAAAAATATCCAAATTAATAAAAAGGGTCAAGTAAAAATATATATATAAAAAAAGTACAAGCTCAAGTAATAAAATAAATGAATTTTTTTTATAGGCAAAACATATATTATTAAAGTAAGTTTAAGTGTAATTCAAAACTCATATATATAGAGAAAAAAAAATTAGCACTTACACAAAAAAATAAAAAGACAAAAATACACTCATGCTAAATTAAGGCAGATACAATTTCTTAAGTTCAATATCAATCAACTAACAAAATAGCTTCTCCTTTACTAACAAGTGATAACCACTTTCAGGATCTCAAAATAATAGAATCTACGACTTCCTTCTCATCTAAAACACTATTAGAAAACATCATTTTATTTCTATATAGTTACAAAGATCACATTGTACTTATTCAGACAATTAATAAACATATCACTTCTATTTTACTACAACTAACACCAACCCAAGTAAGTAAGTAAGTCGATAAATATGAAGGCAAAACCAGATTTGATATGAAATTGAGCATGTTAAAAATAAATGACTTGGAAGTTCCTTCAAATCATGGTAGAAGCAACAAGTTACATCATCAATTTGAACACCACAATCAATCAGTAAACATTTACAAGGAAGTACTTTTAACAGTAATTGCCAAGAAAATACTACACTTAAGTAGGACTTTTCCGCTCCATGACCTCTGCAAGGCATCCGTCGTAACTAATCAATACTATTAGGACCACCAAAAAGTTTAAATAGTCATAAATATGCTGATTACACTAAATAATAGCATGAAGAATCTGCCATCTATACCCATTTATCTTCTTGTAGCACCTTAATACAAATCTCATCAACAAGCTCCAACAAAAGATTAAAACTTGAGATCTCATGTTGAAAGAATCCTCTGCGCCAACTAACATCTCAAACCCACCTTGTGTCATCATGAAAACCATTTTTCAATATATAAGATTCAACATTCCTCGCTACCGCAAATAATCGCGAAAATGCCTCATACAATCACACCCCGCCTACCTACTTATCTCTCCAAAAAAAGGTATACAAACTTGCACTCACACTCCTATCCAACTTCTCATCCAAGCATGAATTCCCTTGATGAATAATCTCCAACAAATCACGCCACCACAAAGAAAATATGTTGTATATTGATAGATGTTGAATAGAAGAAGCTAATCTGCCATATTGTTTGTAGGCAAATGTACCTATCAAAAAATAATAAAAGGTTTTCAAATTAATAGTTCCCAAGTTATCGTCTTACCGAGATTATTTTCAAGTACCAAGAATAACTTAATTTGATTGTTTAAAAGTAACAGAATTGTAATGGATAAAAAACATAGCTTAATTTTAACAATAAATTAAAATAACAGTAATACAATGTATGAGAGAGATCAGATGAGATGAGCATAGAACTTATCACCTACTACACTTCTTTATGTTCTAATTAATTTAACCTGATATTGGTATTCAAATATTTGTCAATCACTCATAATTAGTTCTATTAACACCCAATGATTACGTAATGTCAATATTAATTAGTCGAGAAACCATGAAGATACTATGAGTTTGTTAATTCAATAACGATTAAAAGAAAGGAATTGAATGTGATTAACCTAGTCCCTTATCTTGTTTTATCCTATAGTTCCGTAATTACATGTAGTATGATCGCCTACAATACAACTAACTATGAGATGATAAGGGTGATTTGTAACATTCTAAATCTTTTAAATTTTAAAAGCTGCTTATTTCATTTATACAACTAAGGATACTGTATAAATATTTCATATATGAAAAATATTGTCAGTATAAATAGATAAAATATCTATTTGTAATTAATATCCTTTACAAGATTTAATAATACAAAAATTATTAAATAAATAATAGTAAGCATAAATTATAATTACTCGAAATAAATTTTTACAATAATGGTACAAAACCTGCAGTATTACATGTTTCCTATAATAATTTACAAACTGTTTGGTAAAACAAGTGGGACTCAAAATAATATGTACATGCCCAAAATTAATACATCTCAAAGACAATTTAAGTCCCAGAGCAGCCCCAAAATATATTCCAACACTAAGAATTCAGTACTAGTCGATTCCATGCCAGATTTCTATATCTGCCAAGTCTTTAGAATCGAGATCACCATTTAATCCAAGATAAAGATCGCTTAGATCAGTTGTAACTTCAGTACCAGTAAATCTTTCAAAAGTTCATTTGGATGGTCTTCCAAGATAGTCATGATCGTGATAAGTAAATAGATATGTGATGGCTGCCGGGGTTCTAACAGTACCACTATACATATAAATACACAAGGTCTTATGTATTCTATTCCTAGGAAAATCAAACGGAATACTACAAAAGAAATCCATTTTTAATGAAACAAGAATTCTAGGTTCAGTTTCTACCAAAATAACAAATTTAAAGTAACACAGTCGTTGATATTCATTAAATACATAATTTAACCTATAATGTACTGAACTATCTACTAGTCTAACTCTTTTCTGAGGCGCTGTCATCCTGATATCCTAAAAATATTAGTAAGGATGAGCTTTTATTTTATCATTTAAACACAATATTAATTTAAAGACCAACATTATAGCACGATCACAATCATAGAACACAAGGTAAGGAATCATAAAATCATGAATCTCAAAGCAATATATATCACATATACATATATTACATCACAACTCCTTACATTTCTCTCTTTCGGATATGCACTCTTAGTGCACTGTAATCACAGATATACGATGCCTTAGCAGTTCTTGAGGTCTTACACAACTAAGTAAATAGTTGCCAGTTAGCTCATGCATACGGATACAACATATACAATAACGGTCCCCTTAACAAAGGTATAGCCAGGAGTCTAGTCAGGAAACGAGTGTGAAGTCATGTGACGCATTCGCTTTCAGAAAGAATGTGTACATATGCGTGAATGTCGCTCACCACCTTACATTTTTCCCAGATTTTCTATCGTCTATAGACTCTATAACCCCAGTGTATCTCTGTAACTATTCACACTAGATCCATTCAGCTTTTTACACTTATCTCATACTTTCCTTCATACTAAACTCGTTATTCAAGTAAGAGATTTGTGCTTAGTAAAGCACTTTCAGACTAAGTTCCAAATAATAGACTACTCAAACATATCATTAACACCCAAAATCAGTCAAACATATCTTCATAACAATTCAATGTCAATCAATCATTAGAATCATACAAGAACTTATACATAGAGTACTCTCATGATTACAAAATAGTTATTATGCTTAAAATCACAAAATAAAGCCCTCCTTACCTTGAAAGAAGGTTTGTGAGGGGTTTTGGTGAAAGGACCAAGATCTTCCTAGATATCACAAAAGAGAACATTTTGAGAAGGGAGAAACTTAGAAAACAATCAAAAAGAGAAAACAAAGCTCCAAGAACTTACTTGGAGTTGATTGATGTAGTTCCCAAACTAGGATTTGAAAGAAAGTTGAGGTTATAGGGAGATTTTCTGAGAATGAAGGGTTAGAGGTCAAGAGAACGGAGGAAGAGCTCAAAACTTGGATTGTAATTCAAGTTTTCTAACTTGAAAACCCTTAAATATCTCTTGACTCGCGACAATCTCGCTGCAGCAAGTTATTCCTCGCTACAACGAAAAATTAGACAAAATTGCACTTTGCTGTCTGTCATTCTAGCTACATCAAGAGCTCCTCGCTACAACGAGAGCATTCTCGCTACGACGAGAAGATCCTCGCTACAGCGAGAGAGTATTAGAATGCTTGATTTCTAAACGCTCTTTCTCGCCACAACGAGATATCCTGCAATTTACATTATTTAAACTCTCTAAAATTCAAATAACTTCACAAATACACCCAACATTCAATGTTATAATAATAAATATAAAAATGAGGATGTTACAACTCTCTCACCCTTTAAAGAATTTTGCCCCTAAAATTCGCTAGCTTAAGAAAAGATGAGGGTAGACTTCTTTCATTTTGTCCTCAAGCTCCCAAGTAGCATCCCTTTCATTATTTGCATTCCATATTATCTTCACTAACGAAATGTCTTTACCCCTTAGTTGTTTGATTCGGCGATCAACAACCTTTATTGAAAAAACATCATATGACAGATTCTCTCGGACTTGGATCAGATTGAGTTCAATTATATGAGAAGG